GACTTCAAATTTGGATTCAGCGGGTCAAAATACATGTCTGTAGATGGGTCCGGTCAAAAGTACAGACAACTTTTTTTTTTTGTGTGCCGGTGTAATATGTGTAGTTTATAATTTAATTTAAAATAATTATAATAGAATTATTTAAATTAAAAAAATATATTAAGTAAACAAAAATAAGTAGACACATTATTTGAAAAACAAATCAAAATAAAAGATATTTAATACTTTTTATAAAATAAATATATAACTATATATATATTTTTTTTTTTATAAAATTTTAAGACTATTGAAAATCAATCTGCTTCACTCAAAGAACTCATGAAGACAAGCATAGATAAATGTTTTTCCATCAATCTGTTTCATGTTTTAGATATTTGACTGTTTGACCAGTTGGAAAATGAACGTTCTGATAGAACAGAGGTTGCGACTATACTTAATTTTTGACGAGCAATATAATATAAGTTAGGTATAGGACTTCATTTTGATGTAATCAGGGTAATTAGGCGTAAATATAGTAACAATAATTACGCAATAGCACTAGAAGCCTTAATTCCAAAGATGAAACAATGTTATTGAATATTAACAATAGTTTAAATAAATAGATGTTTAAATACAAGCGCCTTCTTTTTAGTAAGTAACAGTAACCGTTGACATGAAAAACAGAATTAAGTAACTTTTTTCTATCTTTTTTGTCCAGCGCCCGAGCGACCGGTTCGCACCGCCTTTCGGCCACCGCGAATAGCAAGTTCATTTGATGGAGTAGGTTTAACACAATGTACACATTCAGATTTTTCTTTTTGTATCAACATATTTTTTACAATTTCAATAGCTTTTTAGTAGCGAACAGGGTATTTATAATGAATATTCTTGAATCTATAAGAAAAATTTTAATAAAATTAACATCTTCAATTTAATTAAAACTTAATTTTAACCTAGGGTCCAGTAATGTAGCTAGAGGAAAGTCATTGAATATTTTTAGATTCTTAAAACACTTGTCAATTTCAAAAAATATATATTTTTTTAATTCAATACCAATTAAAGATATAGTTTGACAATTATTCACCGCACTATTAAAACAATTAATCAATGGTAAAATTGTACTAATTGTGGTATATTTTTCACCAGAGATTTTTTTTGTCAAGTCTTCAAGTGGTTGCATAAAATTTTTAACTTCTTTGACAATTAATATTTCTCTAGTTGTTATTAAATCAAGTGCATTTGGCCTTTCTAATAAAATAAAAGAAACAACACGATACAAATGTAAAAATCTATCTATTATATAATATAAACTATTCCAACGAGTCTTGATGTCCAATAATAATTTTAAAACTTTTCCTTCTGGTAAACCTGAAAAACAATATTTTAAAACATAATAAACATAACATATTATTTTTTTTTCATAATTTTTCTGGATACTCCTTAATACAACATTAGGATTAACACTATTTTTTATAAATATTACAATATTTCTAATTTTGTCAATCATCTGATTTAAATCAATACCATTCTCTAATGCATTATTAGCTATAAGTTTTATAGTATGAGCAAAACATGGGATTGTTTTATATATGCCAAATGTATCATTAGCTACTTTTTTCATATTTGCAGCTAAAAAAGAACAATTTTAATTTAATGAGAGTGTAGTATACAAATGTAATAAATAGATATTACCATTATAAGTTACGAAAGCAATAATTTGGTGTTGATTATTTTCCCATTCAGTCATAATAATTTCAAATGCCTCACTAATATTTTCAGATGTATGAGACTTACTTAACTCATGTATCTAATATTTAAAAATGTATACATTTTAATCAATAAATACGTAAAAATAAATAATTAGATCATAATAAGTAATTTGAAATAATACCACATATAAATTGAATGCCTTTTAAAAAGTTTATGGTAACACCAATATAACTATTCATTTGAAAATCTGTTCAAATATCTTATATTAGTGTAAATCTATTATTTTTCTTCGATTTATTTGAAAACGCTTTATATAAATAGTCATATTTTAAATCCAATTTATTTTTAATAGTATTCCTAATGGAACTGTGTAAAGGGGACAAGACACTTGTAAAAAATGTCTAAATCCACTTCCTTCAACAGTGGACAATGGTACATTATCCTTGCAAATATAATAAATTAATGCATCAGTTATTTCTGAATTTTTCATTTCTCCTGCTATGAAAATGTACAAATTTAATAAAAGAACCAATTCTTATAGTAAAGGGCATGTGTTACTTTTTTCCTAAACTAGTATTTAGTTGGTTAATTATAACAATTTATATATTCTCAAAGGAAATTTTTTCTTTTTAACACGCTTTTATTAGTTTCACGTGTATGTTTGTTGTTTGTTTGTAAGTTTGTAACTCTCCAAACGCCACGCGTTATCGCATATTCCGTTGTCTAGACTAGACTGTTATACGCATTCACCCCTCCCCACGCCTCGCTCACAATACGACGGTACACTATTCCTATAAAAATTTATTTTTAGTTATCGTACCCGTACACGCGTGCTTGTCATCAATATTATATATATGTAAACAAATTTTTATTTTGACTGACCAATAACGCCCGCGTCTAATGCGCCTTACGTATATATATATATATTCCTACCGCCGTTTATACCTCGGGTATAACGTTAGTCCGACCCGCCCGGCCATAAAACACAGCTATACTTAGTGCATGATACTTTTACGTAGTTNGATTTCAAGATTAGTTTTTTTAAACTATATTTATTTTTCACTTTTTAGTTACATGTTATGATAGTCGTAACTATCAATATCATGGTTGTAACGGGTAAAGGGAAATCAGGGTTCGATTCCGGAGTGGGAGTCTGAGAAACGGCTACCACATCCAAGGAAAGCAGCAAGCGCGCAACGTGAAGGTAGTGACGAAAAATGACAATACGGCAATCATTCCCCGTAATCGGAATAAATACACTATATATCTCTTAATGGGAATAAAGCGTATTAATATATAGTTTTAAAAGTAATTAAAATAAATATTTAACAGTAATTAATATATATATATATATATAATTAATGACACGCACGCGTATACGGGTACGAAAACCAAAAATAAAATTATACAGGAAAATTGTGTTAGCGGTGAGTGGTGAGCGGGGTGGGGTGAATGCGTTACGACAGTCTAGTCTCAAGGTCATACACGACGGGATACGTGACATAATAACACGTGCCGCGTGGAGTTACAAACAAACAAACATTCATGTGAAACTAATATAAGCGTGTTTAAAATACCCTTTCAGATTCGCATCAAAGCGAAAATGACATTATTTAACAATTTTAATATTAAATGATTATATCAAAAATAATTTGAAATGTTATATATTTCTTATTGATTTTAAACATTTTTTACGGTCATTATATTCTAGAATTAAAAAAAATGAATTTACACATGTGTTAGTTAAATATCGAAATTTCAAAAGCCAAAAATATATAAATAATAATTAATAATTTTATATAAAGTGAATGGTTGATAATAAAATATTTGTAATACATTATAATAATTATATTAGATTATTGTTACATAATATTATTATAATAAAACTAAACAATAGATTGATAAAGAAAAATATAAGATTTGATATTATAACCTATAATTTTGTTGTTTTTTTTTACAAAATGATGAGTTATATACATTAAGTTATAATTTAAATGAACATTACAATATGCAAAACATAAACTTAATAAATATTTTCTTACATTTTTCAATCTTTTTCATAAATAGTTTCATGTTTTTCTTTATCATATTTAAAACCAAAATTTGTATACTCACTTTCAATGCACGCATTAATACCATTAAATAATTTATTTTGAATATAACTGTAACCACTATTGGAGCAATTATATTTTGTATAATAAATGTGATACTTTTTGATGACATTATCAAGACGTGTTTTAAAATCTGTCATGGTTTTCCAAATTAATTCCATATCTTGATCAACATTATTCTTTATAGCCATTAATTTTAGCGCTAATTTATCTAAATCTTCTAAAAATGGTAAAATAAAATTGTCAGTTTTGATATTACCTGACAAATTCTTTATATAATTAATCACACCAATATATAGTTCTGTCATATCTCTTGTTTTTATAATAAACGATTTCAATATCTTAACACATTTGTCTAACTCATCTCTGTTTAGTGTTACAGGTAATAATTCCTTAAAACTATCACAATTACTTTTTTGCTCAGTTATAAAAGTAGTGACAAATATTAATGAATCTGTGTATAAATAATTTACCATTAACCTTGCTCCATTAAGTCTTTCAGATAGATTTTTCTTCGTAACATAATTTTTGCCTTTATCGGGGGTTTCCACTAGATATAAACATTTATATACTTGTTTATTATTAACGAAGTCGTACATTTTGCCAATCTGAAATGACTCCCATTTATCATGTTTCAGAAATGAGTTTAAGAAATTGATAGCTACTCTTTTATTACATGATATTAACTCAATCAAGGCGCAAAGTACTATAAAAAATGTCAAGAAAACTAAGTTTTTCATTTTTACCGAAATAAAAATCTAATTTTTTAATAAAATAAAAAATAAGAAACAATTAAAAGTATTATGGAGCGCAACAATAATCGATTAACGCTAACTGCAAATTATTTAAATATGGTAGTTATAGTTATGGTATCTTATATGATATCATTTTATACAAATATACAGTTTTTTTGTTACTCATGTTAAAAAAAAAAACTGCAAAAGTTATTTGTGACTATTCTTATGATTTATTTTACTAATAAATTATAACTCCTTTTTGCATTGTAATATAAAATTAAATAAATTTAATTAAAAAAATGTTACACCATTATGCCTATATGATTATAGTGTTTGACCTACACTATAAATATAAATAATTAAAAAAAAATGTTAAGTAAAAAATAATATAAAAAAGTTGTACTTTTACACAAAAATAACTTTTTTATTAAATTCGGGGGCTTTTTACTTATATTTAATTTAGTAATGCCAGTGTAGTGTACGTATTACCGATTGTTCGAATGTGGGAGTACAGACACAGAATAAATAAATTTAGAATATTGTTTATTTTGTTTTTTAAGCTTGTCGCCATTTTCTCAGGTCTAAGTAGTACGTTTATTTTAATAATACGTCAAAAGATTACAAATCATACCATGTGTTGAACACATTACACTCAATAATGTGAATAAATTTTCTCGTAACGCGTAAATGAGGGTAATCTTCAAAAAATTTCACTATCTTTTGAAATCAGTAAATATTGACATTCTTTAACACCAAAGGAATAACCAATGAAACTTCTTTTCAATGGAAACGATGTGGATGAGTTATCGCTGTTGTATAATTTGTGTTTTAGTGTTTGCTATCTTAATACGTTATACTATGTGTGAACATATATTAATTCTTGTTCTTATTTTTATAAAAGATATCGAAACACAGTCGAATGCGTCAGTCTCAACTGTGTAATTCATTATATGTATTAATACATTGTAATAAATTTATAAATAAATAAATTGTAATAATAAATATAAATAAACAGTACGTATTTGTCAAGTTTATGTCTGACGTATTGCAAATTTGCCATTAGTTCAATATCTATAGAATCACCCGAAATGCCATCTGAGTAGGCGATCAAAAATTACGTAGAAGTGATTACTATGATTAGTATTAAAATGGTTTATTAAGATTAAACGAAAAAAAAAATAACGATTTTTACGAAATTTTGAGCATTTCTAATATATTTACTGTATATCAATCTGAAAAAACATTATAAATATTTTAGTTACTTAGTTAAATAGAATGGTAGGTTATTATTAATCTTGAAAATAATTAAATAAAAATATTGGACTGTTAATTATTTAACATGCTGAATAAAAGTTTCAATAATAAAAATATATATATATAGTTATTTCTCGAATACGTGAACTACACAAAACTTATTGCCAAAATAAACATATTTAATAAGTAGCCAATTTAGAACTCTCGCATAATTTTAACTGCACATATCGTAAATTATAAAACAGTACTCTTAGTACCTAAGTGTTGGATGGTGACTTACTTCCAACTGTTAGACATAACACTCATGATTATAAAATTATCTTTGTAGGTAAATTGATTTAAAACTCGAAAAAAAATGTAATTTAGTAAAATGCTATAAGTAAAATAAGTTAAAATATAAATGAGTGATCTACACGAGTATACAATTATTTAAAAATGTACTGACTATTATTGGTAAATTACGCATCATTATTAAGATAGCTTTAAGAGGCGTTTATTGTTAAATCCAAAATCAGTCTGATTAGACGATTGTGTTAAATCATTGAAATCGTTTATCGAAAAAACAGAGTAATTGGCAAGACGATATATTAATGAGATTAATTATACAAAAAATTGATCAAATACTATCAATGTACTAACAAAACTAATAGTTATATTCTAGAGAAATTAGAAGAGATACATACATTATTGCGAAATCTAAGCGTTTCAAAGAACGCCGTTGTTAAATATACGAATTAATTTGGAATATTATGACACACAAGAGAAAATCTTGTTGATAAAGTGATAGAAAATTATAAAATTATTATACACAATATGATTAGACATTTTCTTATTCATTATAATTTGAGGAAACCTCGTAAAAACGAGATTCTTTTAGATTATCTCATTGAACAATTATTTTCTAGTATTACAAATATATTAATACTCACTACACTAATTTTATTACATCATTTTGTAGTAAAAAACAACAAAATTATAAGTTATAATATCAAATCTTATATTTTTCTTTATCAATCTATTGTTTAGTTTTATTATAATAATATTATGTAACAATAATCTAATATAATTATTATAATGTATTACAAATATTTTATTATCAACCATTCACTTTATATAAAATTAATAATTATTATTTATATATTTTTGGCTTTTGAAATTTCGATATTTAAACTAACACTTGTGTAAATTCATTTATTTTAATTCTAAAATATAATAACCGTAAAAAAATGTTTAAAATTAATAAAAAATATACAACATTTTAAATTATTTTTGATATAATCATTTAATGTAAGAATTATTATAAAAAAATTTATTTTAGCTTCGATGCTACGAACTTTTGAACTTTTGTAGTTATGGGAATTGAAATTGATCAGAGATCAGATGGGTCAATATTTATACATCAGTCATTATACTGTCAACGCATTTTGGAGAGATTCAATATGGCTGAATCCAACGCCCTATGCATTCTTGCAGATCCACAACACTCATTAGATGCAAATTTATCTGAATCATTACAAGCAGGGGAAGTTCCATACAGAAAAGCAGTAGGAAGTTTGTTATATCTAAGTCAGATCACAAGGCCTGATATAACATTTGCTGTAAATCTTGTCAGTCGCTATTTAGAAAAGCCTCTGATAATACATTGGAATGCGGTGAAACGTATTTTAAAATATTTAAAAGGAACCTATAACTATGGTTTATTTTTTCATTCTAGGGTGAANGAGTAGTTATAATTTGTATGCCGACCATCCCCCTCGGCTCGACTTCCTCAACCTCTTTCCCATTTAAGATTGGGCGGAGGTGGGGAGGAGTAAATGAAACACGACGCAATCTAACTCGACGGGACCCAACGCAACCCGACCCTTCCGAGCGCCATCTGGCGGACCCGTGAAACCCCAGCCAGTCATACCCGACGAAACCCAACCCAACCCAATGCAGCATCATCCGGCGGACGCANCCCAACCCAATGCAGCACCATCCGGCGGACGCGCGAAACCCGACGGCGCACCACCTGGCGGACGAAATCCAAGGGCATTTATTCAAGCATGGCGCCGTCGGGCGGACAACAAACCCATGGTGGAAGAGACATATCACCGTTTATCTACTAAAACCTCTAATATGTTTACTGTATTTTTATTTCTCCCACTTACATTGAAAAAATATATAAAATGGATGTTTTCCACCTAAAAATCTATCAGTTTTCGATTTCAACCTGAAAATTCGTCAGTTTCTTTTGTATTCTACGTTATTTTGACATGATGGAAGAATTAAAGAAAAAATTACAACAACAGGTGCGCAATACTCATAAATCCATCGGCGAACTGGTAATTAATAGAAAATATATCATATTGAATTTAACAAGAATGGAAACTCAATTCGGTCTGTCTATAAAGTGCCAGTTGTCAGACACTGGCACCAACGTAAATAGTGGTAATCGAATTTTAAATATATTTTTTTTCTTAAAATATTTATATTGAAATATTTGTAGAAGGTAAATCGTTGAGCTCTAAAAATGAAAAAAAAATTTCGGGGATATTTTATGTCTATTTGCCAAAATCAGTTAGCATGTCTGAAGAGGAAATTGCTAATTTCAACAGTACAGAAGACGAAAACATGCATTTGGTCTACAGGGGTAATACTCCAAAAAACAAATTTCTGATTGATTTTATTTGAAAAATTTAAAAAATATAAATAAATGATTTAATTTGAATTGTTAATAATTTGCTTAATTATTTTTAAAAAGTAACTTCTTATATAATGTCACATAAGGTGTATAAATCATATATAATACAGAAAAATAATATAAGTAAATAAATAATTTATTAAATATTATGAAGTGAGCAAATATTTGTTTGATCTATTATTTTTAACTAAAAATTTAATGGATATATTCATCATCATTGGACGAATTATTAATTCAATAAAAAGTACCAATTATAAATATTCTTAAAAAAATTATTAATTAATAAAAAAAAAATACCAATTTTCAATAATTATTTTATTATATAAATTATAATATGCTAATAAAAATAAATAACAATAATGACGTATAATAATATTTTATGGATATAAGTGCTACGATGACTCGATAGTTGAGATCGGACGAGTGAGGTTAACTTTATATATTCAACATTGAAATATATTATGTCCAGATAAAAATAACTCACCGAATTATTTTTAACTAGATACAATACATCTCAGTGCTGAATAGATCAATGTTATCCTGACACGACTGATCTCAACTGTTTGGTCATCATAGCTCCTATATACTTAACAAAAAAAATAATAGTGTTTCCTAAATAATAAAAATGTTTCCTAAATAATAATAAACAAATAATTATTGAATGTACACATTATAAAAAAATAAAAAATTTGCGAGCAGTTATTTGATTCCACTTGACCCGAAGCCACATTCACCCCGATCCGTTTCATCCAAATCCTATTAAATGAATAAATAATAATAATAATAATCTAAAAAAAAAAATATTAAATTATTTTACCATAAGTTCTTCCAATTCGGGATATGTAATTTTTTCACATATTAATTGCGCAACTCTATCACCAGGATTAATATTAAAAGGCACATCGGAATGGTTAAATAGGAGAATTGCTATGTTTCCCCTATAATCCCCATCAATAACACCTGCTAAAATATATATTTTAATTAATAATATCAAACAGTATTTCATCAATATAAATTAAAGTTACCTCCAACGTCGATAAAATTGTTGCTCGCCAACCCAGACCTCGGGGCAATCCGTCCGTATGTCCCGAGAGGAAGTTTTATCTGGAGATCGGTTTTTATTAGTTTTTTTCCGTGTGCCTCCACTGTATAAGTGTGTGCGCTAATAATAAAAATAAAACTCATGTATTTTTCAAAATTTTATATTATTAAATAATAATTTTACCTTTTCAAGTCATACCCAGCAGCGAACATACTCGATTTAGATGGAGAATGAGCATTAATGCTCAATTTTGAATAAGCCAAAATATTTCTCTTGTCACTCGTCATTCTTTAAGAAAAAATAATGGACTTTTAAAAGAATAAAATAATGATCGAATAATTTTTAAATGCTCTAAATTAGATATTTTTTAATAGACGGTGAGAATTACACCCCTATATGAGGAATACATAAATGGATTTAAAAACACTTTTTTGTAAATAAAAACTCACAATGTCTATTTCGTCGTCTAACGGGTTTAACTATACCAATAGGTTTGCTGCTTGTATACGAAGCTGAATAAAAATAAAATTTAATTAGAATTTAATTAGATTTAAATTATGTGGACCAATGTTAAAGTATACATACACCGAACACCGTTTACTGTAAAATCGATCGTTACTGTATTACACTCGCAATTCAGGACTATAATGTAAATTAAAAAAAATGTTTGTTATTTTCTTCATAAAATAACATTTTTATCATTACTTACCGCTAACCGGTTGTATACTATTGATTGAAATGTTAGTCTGTTAACTGTTGATTGTAATGTTAGCTTGATCACTATCACTATCACTAAAACCTTGCGTATTTTCAGCTAAATTAATTTTTAAATATTAGTAAATATTATTTAGTCGTAATTAAAAATGTATTCTAACCGTTAAATATGTCCTCAAAAGTTAATAATTCGCGACTCAAATTACTCGAATCACTGCTGATACTTATTATCTCGCTCNGTGACTTAAATTACTCGAATCACTGCTGATACTTATTATTTCATCTAAAGTTGTTGAATCTTGACTCGAATCACTGCTGATACTTATTATCTCGCTCATTTTTTCCTGGATACGGCTAGATTTATACTGCATTAATTTCTGATTGTGGACCACTGATAATAACCACTTCAATAATATAATATATCTACAACTCTCTTGCACAATATACGGAGGGGCGTAAAATGTATTTAACTCACAGGCCATTAACGCGCATCTTAAGATAAGAGACAGTTTCCGATTTATAATAAAGCATTAATCACATCGTGGTACTTACAGTATGAATCACTGATGCTTATTAGAATCTTAATTGACTTAACTAAATTTATATTATAAATATGTTTCACTGTGAAAAGTGTGAAAAAACTTTTTCCGTCAAAAGAAATTTAGTGAGGCATCGAATAAAACACGACGGGATTAGATTNTCGAATAAAACACGACGGAATTAGATTTCCATGTCATGTATGCAGTTTGACATTTTCAGAGAAAAACGCTCTTGAGCGTCACACTCAAAGAGTGCACCGTAAGTAATAAAAATACTTTTATAATTTAATTATTGGAATTAAATAAATTACAACATAATATAGATCTCACAAAATACGGGATTGATTATAATATAACGATCGGTAATCATCCTGATTCAGTGAAATTTCAGTCGTGTGGTAAGTAATAATAATAATAATAATTAATAAATATGAGTAGATAAACAGAGTCTATTTATTGCAGAAAATGAAGGTTTTGTAAGACAGCCGAGTACAAGTGGAATGTCTTTTAAAAGAAACCGTAATTCTAATAATGATAATACAGTTAAAAGTAAACGGGTCAAACAAATGCGATTGGATGAAACTACATCGACAACTTTTCAATTAATAGGCTCATCACTAAACAATATATTCTGGTTTTATAAAAAAAATATGGATAAAGTTGGTGATTATAAAACATTTTTATTTCAAATTAAAAATGAACTAATTAATAAATTAGATGAGTGTTTAAAAAAAATTGGTCCTATCAAATTTAATTTAAAATTGGAGTCCACTTATAATATACCAAATCAACTCGACACAAATGAAAATCGTTCTTTCAAAACAAGTGCCGAGGAATTATTTGCCTACAGTGATATTGGCAAGATTGTTGATAAAGCATTCGAAAAATTATTTGAAGAGGAGGAGAATTACGCCGGCAAGGGGAGCAATTTTACATTTTTAAATATAGATGGGATACTTCTCGGCGTTTATAAATATTCCCCATTGTCGGCCAGCTCATATATAGAATTACCGAAAGATATTAAAAATAAACACTGTATTATAAATCCTCAAAATATCGACTCTTGTTGTTTTAAATGGGCGATATTGGCTAAAAAAATGAGAGGAAAAAATAATGCTCATATTGTTGGAACTAATTATAGATCATTAAAACACAATTATAATTTTTCCGGATTATCATTTCCTACGCCTATTAACGAAATAAAAAATTTTGAAAAAAATAATGAAAATACATCAGTTAATGTATATGGATTGTCAATTATAAAAAAAAATAAAAGCGGCTGTGCGAATGATGAAAATTTAGTTTATCCATTAAGAATAGCCGATGATGAAAAAAGAGATCATTTCGATTTACTGCTAGTGTCCAATAGTATTGGCAATGATCATTATATGTATATATCAAATTTTGGGGGTCTAGTACAAAGTCAAATGACGAAAAATACTTCAAAAATGGTTTTTTGCAGAAGATGTTTTTTGGGTTTTAATTTCATTCGAAAAAAATATAAACTTTGTGGGTTTGAGGCATTAAATGAGCATAAAAAAATTTGTGGAGAAAATAAACCATTTTTACCAATAATGCCGGAGGAGGAGACTACGTTACAATTCGATGCTTATGAAAAAATGGAGGAACACCCTTTCTCAATATACTGTGATTTTGAAGCTCTATTAGAAAAAACGGATAAAAAAAGGGGGTCTGAAACCCGCGATATTCAAGAACATAAACCGATGAGCTATGGTTTTTTAGTGAAAGCGGCGAATAGTGTTCCAATTGAGTTATTAAAACACTTTAATATTATGATAGAACCAAAAATATATAGGGGAAATAAAAATAGTCGGTCTGAAGATGTCGCCGCTCGGTTTGTAAAAGATGTATGTGAGGAAGCTGTGAAAATTGAAAAACTGTTAAAAACAAATAATGAAATTATCATAACTGATAAAGAAACTGAAATACACGGATCAAAAACAAATTGCGATCTGTGTAACAATGAATTTAGTGATTCGAATCACAAAGTTGCCGATCATGATCATTTAAGCGGCAAATTCAGACATACATTATGCAGCAATTGCAATTTAAAATTGAAAACAGTATCGTTTGTACCTTGTTTTTTTCATGGATTAAGTAATTATGATGCTCATTTTATTGTACGCGAATTAAATTTTTCGAAACAGCGAATTTCTTTAATACCGTCTACCGAAGAAAAATACATAAGTTTTTCAAAATATGTTTCGGATAGATTTAGTGTTAGATTCATAGACACGTTCAGATTTATGGGCGCCAGTTTGGCTACACTTGCGGACAATTTACGCTCTGCTGGCAAACATTTATTTAAGGAAACAGCGAAAGTTTTTTCGACGGAGGAAATAGATTTGGTGACGCGTAAAGGTGTATATCCATATTCTTTCACGAGTAATTATGATGTGTTGGAAAATACAGAATTACCTAGTAAAAAAGATTTTTATAACGAATTGACTGAATCGCACATTAGTGATGAAGATTATATACACGCGCAAACTGTTTGGAAACATTTTAAATGTAAAAATTTGGGGGAATATTCAGATCTGTATTTAAAAACCGATGTCCTTATATTAGCAGATATCTTTTCAAATTTTAAAAGACTCTGTTTGGAGAAGTATAGATTAGAACCTGCATACTATTATACAAGTGCCGGTTTATCTTTTGACGCGATGCTGCTACACACAGAAATAAAATTAGAACTTATATCCGACTACGAAAAACAAATTTTTATTTCGAGAGGTATTAGAGGTGGTATGACAAATTCTGTACTTAAATATGCTCAGGCAAATAATTTGAAAACACCGAATTATAACGCCGACGAGCCCAGGTCTGAAATTATTTATTTGGATGTGAATAATTTGTACGGTTGGAGTATGTCACAAAATCTTCCGTACGCCGGGTTTAGGTGGATTGATGAAGACCAGGAAACCATATTGAAAAGAGTGCAGCAGATGGACGAAGATTCAGACATCGGGCTTGCACTGGAAGTAACTATGTCGTATCCGAAAGGACTGCATGATATGCACGATGAATTGCCTTTTCTACCCGAAAACAAAATACCCCAAAATGCTAAAGCCAAAAAATTGCTTTCAACTTTAGAGACTAAAGAAAACTATGTCATACATTATTTAAATTTAAAACAGGCGATGGAAAACGGACTTAAAGTTGAAAAAGTAGTATAAAAATTGAATGCTATTTTTTATTTATTTTATATTTTACTGTTATAATTACAGGTGCACAAAATTTTAGAATTTAAGCAATCTAAATGGCTTTCTAAGTACATTAAATTGAACACGGAAATGCGACAAGCGGCTACTAATGATTTCGAAAAAGATTTTTTCAAATTAATGAATAATTCTGTTTTTGGTATGAAAAATATTATTATAACAGTTTATAAATTATATTAATGTTATATTTTATTAAGGTAAGTGTATGGAACGTGTCGAATTTAGAAAAAAAATGGAACTCGTGAACGATCCTACACGTGCTGCCAAATTGATTAAAAAGCACACGTTCAACCATTGTGTTACGTACAACGAAAATTTATCCATATTTGTATTAGATAACAAAATTATTCATTTTACAAAACCGGTGTATGTGGGATTCTGCATACTTGACATTTCTAAAACGTTGGTGTACGATTTCCACTATAATTATATGAAGAAACATTTTAAAGATCGAATTATGCTAATGAATGGTGATACGGGTAATAAATGATGATAATTATTTTTAAATTAAATTTATTATATAATAATTTATAATTTAGATTCTTTAGTATACTATGTAATGACTAAAAATTTTTATGCGGAGATCAAGGAAAAACCTGAGTTAATGGAGCAATTCGACACGTCGTCGTTACCAAAAGACCATTTTTGCTATTCGGCCTCTCGCAAAAAAATCCCGGGTCTCTGGTCGGACGAGTGTGGTGGGAAGGCCATACTGGAGTTTGTCAGTCTACGAACAAAGGCGTATGGTTTTAATATCGAGGGGACCGAAAAAATCAAAGCCAAGGGAATTAGAAGACATGTTACAAAAAATCATTTGATTGTGGAAAATTTGAAACAATGTCTGTTTGCCAAAGATGATGAAAATGTAGATGGTGTAAGCAAAATTGCTGAAGCCAAAGAGGCGGCTATCGTGTGCGGTGCTAAAGTGATCAAAAACATTCATGAAAGGGCAGATAACCCTGCATTGCCGTTAATTAAATATGATAAGTACACGCCTTATAGGGAAAATGTTTCGATAAGGTCGTATAAACATGATGTTTTTACAATAAAATCGATGAAAATGACATTGAACCGTTTGGACGATAAACGTGTAATTTTACCGAATCGAATAAACACTTGCGCTCATGGTCATTACCGACTAAGGTATTCAATTTGTCTGTTAATTGTGAATGTTACAATCTATTATTAATATATATTTTTTATTCTAGCAAACCGGAATTTGAGAAGTATTAAACAATGTCAAATTATACCTATGGTCATAATATTAATAGCTAAAAATAAATTAAATAATGTTAAATTATGTCAATAGTCATAATATTAATAGCTTTAAATAAATATTTGATTGTTTTTTTACAAATGTTTACTTTATTTAATAATGTTAAAACAATACAATAGTTATCTTACTTAAAAATAATCGAGAAAAATTGAGACTATGATCTTAGTGATAATAGGTATTAATATGAAAGTAAATATTTAATCGTTTCACACAATGCATACTTTTTTTCGTATTTACACAATACATACTTCATTTTAAAAATAATGACTATAATAAACGTTAATGTGTGGTTCATAATGTTACACTATTTACGACCTTCGAACTTCGCCACTAAATGGATTATATTGTATTACGCGGTCGTGTATAATTAGGCAATACGCGGTGGTTTTGACTGGAAATTTACTTGAGGATTCAAAATCGATTCTGAGATCTATAGTCGAAGTTTTCACATCGTCTTTTTGACAGGTACAGTCTACACAAAAAACGGGACCGTATTTTATAAATTCTTCTTTATTAAATAATGGTTTAGACTTTTTTCTTTCGTAATAGTTTTGTTGGAAATTCACATAGTTTTGATAAAATAATGTAATTAATTTTTTATCAAAATTTTCATTAAAGTTTTCATAAGGATACTCGAACGAATTTAAATGAACTTTTAGATTAACTAACGAGCATGAATCAAATTGTTGTGCGCGATCCCCCGAATCGCTAGATTGTACTGTGTTAAAAGCTATTATTATGTATCGAGGTCTATCAATGTTAGAGCTAGTTTTCACCATCCAACTTGTTTTCTCCGTATTCGGTAACTCAGGGTATACATATAGGTCCCAATTTCTAAAAGCACAGTAAATGTTTTTTCGAGTTTCAACAATTTTCAGCAATTTTAATTTTTTACGATCGTTAACACGCACTACGGGTAATTTCAATACGACTTTTGTTAACTTAATACTGGATTTTAATAGTTCTTTCGCACCATCATTCGACCATGTCGTACCATCTGTTATCTTCGCTCGTATCGCTGCACTATCATTTATCGCCCTATTCATTATAATTTGATGATTAACTTGAATTAATATCTTACGATAATCTTCGCAAAAGCCAAAAATATGTGATAAGGGGATACAGCCCGAAAATTTAAAATCTTCTTTTGAAAATTCGTTACACGTTGAGTTTGGGTCCCAGTATGCATTTTGGAGATTATTCACATCGTTCAGTGAATAAGAACAATACCCTTTTAGCAAACTAGTTATTCCCGGATCTTTAATTTTTTGAATCTCCACTCCATTCATTTCATAAGATATGGAATCGAATAAGAAAGCTAAACCATTATTTGCAATTGCTATTTCACCAGCTGTCCCCCTATTTTTCACTTCACCCTCAATGTATATAAAACTTTCGCATAATAAAGTATATGAATCGGTATTTTGCACGGCTATTCGAATATGATCACCATTTGAGAGTGCCGTAGTGGAAAATGGTAAATACGAACGAAATTGCAAATCTTCGATAGGTGTTTCATCAATATATTTTTCCAATACATTTAAAAAAGAGCTATCCATTTTTATAATACACGTAACGATTTAAAAAAAAATAAATTATTCTTACTCAATTTTGTTCTTTTTTTATTTTCGCGTTTTAATTCTCCTCCTATAAATGAACCGTTTCGCTGACCCAAAGTATTTTTTACTTTGTATAGAGTGTGGAGTTTCTTATTTATTATTTTGTTATTGGTAATATTTTTTTTAACAACACCGCTTATTTTTTTTTGCCCTCGATTATTAGCAAATTTTAAACCCATTAATTATCGCGTTTTAAATGTAAACGTACCGATAACGGCTCTCCTCTTAAATCAATTAATTTTCCGTCTTGATCTTTCAATGTTACCCGCAATTGATTTATAAATGTGGTGTTTAAAGGATAATAAACGGGGTTTGCAATAACTTCAGATAGATGAAATCCCGGGGGGACATTCATAAAAAATTCGTGTAAAGTGTGACTTGGTAAACCGTTATCGAATGAACCGGAAACCAGATTACAATGAACTTTTATAGAATTAACGTTCATTATGTTAACTACATATTCCGAAACGTGTTTATAATCGGCCATATAAATTTTTTTTCCGAATCCCAATAAGCCTGCGATGCTATCCAGCTTAGATAAATCAATATGCCTATCACATTGCATTTCACATTTTAAAGTGATTAGATTGGTTTTAAGTTCAAATGTGATACCAAGTTCCGACGTTGCATTTACTAGAAAATTTTCTATTTGACTCAACTCATAAGAGCCCGTCGGAATAATAATCTCTTGAATACTACCATCCTCTCTACTAAAACCTATTCTATTTTTACCATCATTTATATTCGGGATAGAATTGTTGGTTTCTAAACTCAGAAGACATATTTTTGTATTTTTTTCCATTTCTAGAGGGGGGAAGAACATACATTCTAAGTCTGATGAATTTCCGTTCATTGAAATAGACGTCATGATGATGTGTTCACAAGAAACATCAAACAAAGTTGAGCACAATTTGATGAATTATAATTTTGAAAATTGTCGTAATTGTAATAAATATTACACCCTTTTAGATAGTTTTTTATTTCTATGGGTGGTTTTAAATTTCCAAAACTATCGAACTAATTTACATATTTTCCGAATTTTCTAAAACAAACCCAATGTGTTCCTCTATTATTAACACTATCCAAATTTATAACCATCGACTCTATGTCGTTACAACGTTTCGGCAAATTATCTCTACAATAACAGCCCCTGAAGTGAGGTATTTTTAACAATTTGGCATACTTTATAACCTCATAATCATACATGGCATTATCGGGTAACTTTATTTTTCGAATAAGATTTTTTTTTTTCCCATCACCGCTGTTAACATTACTTCCTCCTTTAAAAGGTTTTAAATACATACCTCCTCCTTCTTTATATGGTTTCAAATGCATTCCATAACCCTGTTTTTTATTGGTGTTAAATTCGTGTGCTGTTTTTATTACATTCGAAATTCCCCCTGCCAGACCCCCTAATGCGCTTAAAGCTGAAAACAGCGTAATCAAAGGCAAAACACCACCATATTTAGGTGTTGGAATGATTCTGGACAGTGATTGCTGTTTAATCTTTTTATTCCTGATTAATTTATTTTTAGCAGCTATTAGAGTCCTATTAATTATTTTTGACGTCTTTTTTGTTTTTTTCTTCTTATTCTTTAATTTATAGCTTTTATAGCTCATACCCAATTTTCTTTTCGCTTTCATTCCCGCGGCGACGACCAATGCGGCGGCCTTTTCTTTTAAACCTGTGTTTTTAGAATCGAACGAATCCCAAGCCTGCTTTTCTAAAACTAAGTCTGCCGCATGGCGAACCGATTTTTCATTACTACCTTCGTAAGCTATGTCATGTATTTTACACGCTCTGTCTAAGCTATTTATACCAACATCGCCGCGCGCCAATCTTTTTTTTAATTTTGTACCGGGTCCGCAAAACCTAAAAATATTTATACGTATTTACTAGATTTTCCTAAATTATATACATTGAAATTTTTACTGATAAGATGGTAAATGCATTTCTAGAGGCATCTTATTTATAACATAATTTAGCAGTCCTACACCTTTAATGTTCTTCATTGCTCGAGTAGATTTCATCGTGTGCGATAATTATAAAAATCTCCAATTATATATTTTGTTTTACAACATGCGAATTTTAGAGCAAAAACACAAACTCTCAGTCCGTAATGTAGATTTACCTGGAACAATTGACTCGACATTTAAACGACACGGATTTTTATTTCCAAATACATTAAGAGGATTAATCGTGGGACCTTCGGGGAGTGGCAAGACCAATGTTATTTTTGCAATGTTAACCGATATTAATGGAATAAGATTTGAGAACGTATATATCTACAGTAAAACCTTACAACAGCCAAAATATATAATTTTAAAAAAAATTTTACAAGAAATAAAAGGTCTGAAACTTTTTACTTTTCACGAAAACGATAGTGTCGTACCCCCCGAAAAAGCACTTCCTAACTCAGTCTTTATTTTTGATGATGTGATTTGTGAAAATCAGAATGTTATCAAATCATACTATTCTCGCGGAAGACACAACAACATAGATTGTTTTTATCTCGCTCAATCATATTCTAGAATACCTAAACATCTTTTAAGAGATAACACTAATTTTATTATATTATTTAAGGAAGATGAACTTAATTTAAAACACGTATTTCAAGATCACTGTTCTGGAGACATGAATTTTAGTGAATTTAAAACTTTTTGTATGACCGGTTGGAATCGAGAAAAATTTAGTTTTGTCATTATTAGCAAAGACGATGATAGAGATAATGGTCGTTATCGTTTCGGATTCCATTATTTCGTCACTATATAAGACGTGATTTGTAAAACTAAGAATTACCGATTATGTGTTCCGACAAATCGGTGTTGACCGATTTAATACGAGCGAAAGACAACATTAAACGTAAATTTAATGATTTAAAACAACAGCGTGTCGATAATGAAGTTTTAATTGCCGACACATTTAAACCGATTATCAACCCACTTGAAAAAATAGCGAATTTTAATGAGAAAAATTATTATAAAAAAGTGAGCGAAGAAAAAAATAATTTAATTAGACATGAAAACACTGCAAAAGATTTGCATGAGATATACAACACAAAATCTGAGAGAGGAGAAAATAGTTTTTTTATAAATTTGAACAAGTACATTGGTGATGATGAAAATCGAAGGATTGACTTAGAACAAATAGACAAATTATATGGGCCTAAATTCGGAATCGATGGGGAAATAACATTGTACGGGAATGCAAAAAATGTAAATTTTGATTGGAACAACGAAAAAATTCTCATTAACAATAACTCGTATCCGTTATCCAGGGGTTTAGTTCAACTTATCTTTAACAAACGACCGGTAGACTATAACAGGGCAGACTTGGATATTTATAGAAAAATTTTAATATTAACATCGGCCCACCTCAAAACCGATAAAAATAGTTTAAAAAAAGGCGGTAAAAAATATTATGAAATTATTGAGCATTTATTCAATAGTGGGAGTGGTCTTTCTATACCACTTATAAAAGATCGGGATGAAACATATGTGTATTGGAACGATCCGAATGAGTTGGTTTCTAGACTAAAGCTGCTCATGTCTTCGAAAAATGCGGGTAACACAAGTTTAGACAGTGAAATAATATCAATATTTGAGGAGCTTTTAGAATCCGGATACATTAAACGAATGCCCGATTATGTCTAGATCTGGTATAGCGTTTGAATTGCACAGACCGGCAAGAAAAAATTTTATCAGAAGAAGAGTTAACGTTATTAGTAAAAATGACCTTTGGGAGGCCGATCTCATAGAAGTTATTCCATTCGCGAAATTAAATATGGGTTACAAATACATACTCTGTGTGATAGATTGTTTCACAAAATACGCATGGGCAATACCTCTGAAAACAAAATCCGGAAAAAACGTTTCTGGGGCTATGGCTAAACTATTTACCCTTCGCCACCACCGCCTAATCCATACAGACCGGGGTCGAGAGTTTTACAATTCGCATTTCCAGGCGCTTGTAAAAAAATATAATATCAACCATTATTCAACTTTTAGCACGATTAAAGCTTCCATTGTGGAACGTTTTAACAGAACTTTAAAAACAAACATGTATCGGGAATTTAGCGCTAGAGGTTCTCAAAAATGGATTAATATAATAGATTTTTTGATCAAAAAATATAATAACAGCAAACATCGAACGATTGGGATGACGCCTATACAGGCGGAATCAAATCCGCTATCGGTAAAGTTGAATCATAGAAAAATATTCAAATCAAAACCCAAATTCAAAATCGGACAAAAAGTGAGAATATCTATTCATAAATCTTTATTTATTAAAGGATATATGGCCAATTGGAGTACTGAAATATTTTCAGTTTCCAAAATTAATAATACATCACCAATTACTTATATGTTAAAAGATTACACAGGCGTTCCTATAAAAGGATGTTTTTATGAATATGAATTGCATGACACAAATTACCCAAACGATTTTCTCATTGAAAAAATTATTAAAAGAAAAAAATCGAACGTATTGGTGAAATGGTTGGGTTATGACAGTTCGCATAACTCGTGGGTGTCCGTAAACGATATTAAAAACGATAGTATGCGATATTGATCAGTATGTAATAAGCACACACCATGAATGTGTTTGGCACTTCTGCAGAGAGCAGACAAAACAGCCAACTTGAAAAACTCGAAAATATCAGTGTGGCTATATCAAGAGACTTTTTACAAACACAAACAAGTATAATCAATATTAGAGATAAAATAAAACTATTAGCAGATGACATAAATCTCACAAAATTGCTGATTGATGGTTTAGATAATAGAGTTTCTACCATTGATATTAAATTACTGAGCCTGACTGATGAAATTAAAAAAATTAGTTTACGTTTAAGTAATTTAAATATTGATATTGAAGAAACTAAATCCAAAATATATGCACATATTAATAACCCCAAGACAAAAATTGCAATTGATAAAATACTAGAAAATATTGTCGAACGAGTTGGATTTTTGGAGAAAACTAGAACTATTCATTTTAGTGATTCATTAAACATCGAAGATAACACATCTAATATTTCAAAAAGTTAAATAAGTTAAAAAACAAAAAATGAGTACGGCGGTATTTGATATTCATTGCGTACTAAACTCGCAGGGTGAATATACCATAGAAGAAATGTCTATAGTCGATACAGACGAATTGGCTGCCCAAACATGGATATTCAAAAGTTTTCCGATACAAAATTCCAAATCGAAGGCCGCGAACAAATGGTTAGAACGATATTACCATCGAATACCAACAAGTTATGGACAGGTAAATGCGGATGAAATTTGTCCAATATTAAATTCTACGAATTACAAATTTATACTCGTAAAAGGAAAACAGAAAAAACAACTATTAGAAAAACTTATTTCAAAGCCCTGCATTGTAAACAATTTGGAAACTCTAGACTGCCCATCAATCGATAACTTATATAAAAATTCTTATTTCCCATCCTGTATATTTCATAAAAATTTAAACCCGCATAGATGCACACTCAACACCGCATATAAGCTGAGAAAATGGTACTTAGATAATATATAAAATCATATTCATATTTAATTTTGTAACACATATATTTCATAATGTAAATTTGACAATAAAAATATTATTATTATTATAAGAAGTTTTATTTATTTAAATTTTAAGTAATGTCCCATTGTGAATAATAATTCGATAGTGATTGACTGTAAGGCTGTTCCTCACTAATTGATATCGTGTTTACCGAAGACGGCTGATCGATTATTTGTACATTAACATCCTAAATAAAACATAATAAATATTAACATAAACCAAAATAAACATTACATTTTTAACTGACTTTGCTCACCTTTTTTTGAACCTTGTTATATCACGTTTTTTCATCCATCAATCGATCAACAATGCTGGTAATCATAAATGATTTTATTTCGTGCACATAACTAAGATCGTGTTTTTTCATGATATGTTTTCCAACTTCGATAAAATCAATTTTTTTTATGAATAATAACACTGTGTTGTAATCGCTGTGCAGAGTTTCTTGAGCAAATATATTAAAACAATAGTCAATAATCTCCTCGAATTGCTTTTTTATGATTGGTTTGTTAATAGTGTTTTGACGTTTGACTGCATCAATAATTACACATTCCAAATCTAATAAGGTGATTAAATGCTCATATTTAAAAACAACTTGACACTTCGGATATATTTTCGATTTTATCAAAATCACGTTAGCCTTGTGATGGACTCTTTTAGATATCGCTGTTGAAGCATCCTCAAGTAGTAAAATTTTTTCCTTTTTAATAGGAGCGGTTAATATCAAAGATAAAATGTTACCCATTAAACCAAAAATACGAGTTAAAAGATCAACTGAAATTGTAACATTTCTTAACGGAGAAATTAAACGTACCACGGTAATAAACGATTCTTTTGGTTCAATACCAATCGTTATATAAAATTTTTTATTCACACTGAAACTATAAAACAAACAATTTATGAATTCATTTTTATGAGGAAAATCATCTTTACCAACACTATTCATTTTCTTCAACATCGCTTCAACCATATTGACGAGACAGAATTGAAGCACGTCCAATACAACAACAAATGACTGAATGATCTCAAATTATTACTTCTTCTGAATGTTGTATTAAATAAATTTTAAAAAACGATTCTCGCCAACCCGATCAACTTTTTATTCAATTTTCGATATTAATCGCGTTGTTATCATCAAAGTCCATTTTGTCTTTTAAAACTGTTTCTAAAGAGTTAACACGTATTTCAATATTTTTGGTAGCTTGATGCAAAGTTTTCATATGATCGGATAAATCCTCGATTTGAGCGTTCACGTGAAAATCCGCACCTCTCAATCTTATAAATAATTCATCAATTAATAATTTGTTTCTGAAGACAGTTTCATCAATGTTTTTTATTTTTTCTCTGTGTTCGTTCCGATCATGAAGCGAGCAATAACAGCAAAACTGGTCCATCACTAACCGATAACACGCAAGTAATAAAATCGTTGGACAGATAGCGACGCGTTTCACCCAAAGGTCCTGCGTAGGGATAGATAGCGTCCTATTTCGTCCGCCAGATCGCGCCGCATCGGGTTTTATGCGTCCGCCGGATGATGCTGCATTGGGTTGGGTTGGGTTTCGTCGGGTATGACTGGCTGGGGTTTCACGGGTCCGCCAGATGGCGCTCGGAAGGGTCGGGTTGCGTTGGGTCCCGTCGAGTTAGATTGCGTCGTGTTTCATTTACTCCTCCTCACCTCCACCCAATCTTAAATGGGGAAAGAGGTTGAGGAAGTCGAGCCGAGGGGGATGGTCGGCATACAAATTATAACTACTACTATGGTTTATTTTTTCATTCTAGGGTGAAACTTAAGTTACATGGTTATAGTGATGCAGACTATGCTGATGATACAACAACTAGGCGATCAACATCAGGATACATATTCATGATGACTAATGGAATAGTAGCATGGTGTTCACAAAGACAAAAATCAGTAGCACTCTCAACTACTGAGGCTGAATACATGGCACTGAGTCAAGCAGTCCAGGAATTAACTTGGTTGACGCTACTAACAAGTGATCTTCTGGAAACACAGGGAGACACCTGTTTTGTACGCGGACAATCAAAGTGCCATAAAATTGGTGAAGAATCCAGAATTCCATAAACGAACTAAACATATAGATGTTCGTTATCATTATATTCGTGAGAAGTTCAATGAAGGGATGTTTTCACTGGAGTATGTGACCAGCAAAGAGCAGTTAGCTGACATCTTGACCAAGCCAACACCACGAACAAGATTTCAAGAACTCAGAGAAATGTTAGGAATTAGATATATAGATTTATAATTTTTTAATTAACTATGTACGGGTGTATTGTTTAAGGGGAATAAGGGGAATATTATTTAAGATAACAGTTTAATGTATTTTTACTTATGTTAGTATAGTACAAGGTCAAAGGGACACATTCCTTTTACGATTATGTTGTTTTACTCAATGCAGCCTATTGTATACATGTTTACAGTTTAGTCGTAGTTTCGCCGTCTATCGAGTAAAATGTTCGGTTGTCGTTGTACATCTCTTATATTATATGTTTTGACATTTTATATTAAATACTATTATATTACGAATAATATCTAAATCTTTTAATTACATAACCTATTCCATTCAACAATTTTATTTTTGGTTTTCGTACCTGTAAACGCATGCGCGTCATTAATATAATATATATATTAGGGTGATCCTCTGTCATAGGTGAAGCAAAAAAAAATTTGATTGTTCAGTTGCAGGACCCCCTAAATTTTTTTATTACTATAAGTAAAACATTTTGATAAAGTTTTGTCATGATTGGTCAACCCCTTTCCCGTACCGCAAAAGGGTTGGAAATTTGATAAATGGGGTAGTTTTATAGTTTTTTGCTTTTTCTTATTCACTATCATTTGAGGAAACCTCGTAAAAACGAGATTCTTTTAATTTTACTGATTATCTCATTGAACAATTATTTTCTAGTATTACAAATATATTAATACTCACTACACTAATATTGGGTTTGAATATAGTGATGAAAATGATAAAATTATTTATAAAGAAGTTACAATGACGTACACTTTTATATAGATATTAAATTGAAGCTTATGTAATATGCTTTAATTTGAAAAAGAAAATTGTCTTCATGGTGAAAAAGACCAAACCGTATTCAAAAAGATGCTATTTTTGTGTTAAAATTTTGGGTTTTGTATTTTATTTTATTTTAAAATATTTGACAAGGAAAGTACACTGATTTTCATAAATATTATATAAATCAAATTAATATAGCATAGAAAGTCGACAACACTTAAGTTTGACGCACTTGGGGTCCAAGGTATCAACTCGCATGTGAAAAGGAATATTTTGCATTATTGACTTGATATTGAAAAATCATATTTATACTTACTAATATTAATCAACTATAATTGTAATTAAAATGAATTGATTTAACTAGACTTGCTGTAAATTATCTACCTCGAGTATAAGAAAATTCAAAGAAAATCATCTTCTCTTAACCCTTATGTGACTGGAAAGGTACCCGGGTACCTTTTCAGTTTTTAAATTTATTTTTCTTCTAAATATTTAGTATGTATGGTTAGTCCTTCTGTGACATCTCTAAATAGCATGTATAGTTAACAAATTTATATTTTGTATTTGAAAAGTATATAATTTATTGTACTTAAAATAGCGTTGTTAATTTTACACCTTATAAGGACGTAGTAGGTACCTGGGTACCTCTATATATTGTATTTAAATGTAGGTTTTATTGATACAAAAAAAAGTTAAATTACCATTGATAAATATTTTTACTGGACATCATTAAAATAGATACAAATATTAAGAGAACAAAAATGTTATTTTTTACATATTTAGTAAGTATTATAACATATTTAGGTTTTTTGTTGATTGCAAGTTTCGCAAAATGATTTGTTTATTGAGTGTTCATTGCAAATAGGCTTTGAGCAAGTTGAACAAGCTTTTCGAGTTTTCCGTTGCTTATAACCCAATTCTCGACATACTAAGCAACTTCCAACTATTTGAATACGTCCTGAAGCATCACGAGGTGGTTCATTTTTAGGAATAGCAATTATCTGTTGTATTGGCCGTCGAGAACCAATTCCATTGAATTACGAGTATATCGATTTCCTACTACTTTAGGTATGGAGGTTCGAATTTCTATTGCAGGCATACATAATTGATTTGCAAGCTCTTTCAAAAATTTTCGGCGTCGATCAGTTGTGTTAAACCTTTGATTGTGTTCCATATATATAATATATGCAGATAAAACAGCAATATCAATCATGTTGAAAAAAAATGCAAGTGGCCAACGATTAGTTCTTCGCTTTACTGTGTATTCTGTTAACATTTTATCCATTGTATCTACTCCTCCTTTTGTCTGATGATAATATTTTATAATTTCTGGTTTAGCGGTAGCAGCTTGCATTATGTCGGCTGTCATATGCATTGTAGATAAAAGAATAACCGATTTATTTATTTTTGGAACATAAGAAATATTTATATCTTTTCTAAATACAAAATTTGTAGAATGTAACGCTCTGGCTTTTGATGGAAGCATTTTGGGAGGCAAGAATCTTTTATTTTTTCTGACAGTACCAACCAATGTCATATTCCAAGAGTTTAATGTAGTAGCCAATTGCATACTTGTAAAAAAGTTGTCTGTAGTCACATTCCGTCCAGAACCTTTATACATCGCAACTAAGTCAAGAACTGAACGTTCACCAATATTTACTTAACGTTTACCATCTTGTGGTTTGCCAGTGTAAATTTTACCATGCAAAGGGTAAGCATTTGCTGCATCGCATGCCCAAAAAACCTTTATTCCATATTTTGCAGGTTTAGATGGAATGTACTGTGTAAATTTTGTGTGTCCTCTGTAAGGAAATAATTGTTCGTCTACTGTTATATTTTCTGTAGGTTTATAATTTTTATGTAAGTTTTGATTGAGCATGTCCAAATATCACGAATCGGTGCAGCTTTGTCTGTTGTAATACGTATATTACGAGTGTTTACATTATCAAAACAAATAAACCTTAGCAACATTTTGAATCGATCTCGAGACATTGCAGCTCGAATGAGAGGTAACGAGTCTAATTTCCACATTTCTGATACATGTTCTTTATTAGATCTATGTACACCAGATACGAGAAGAATTACATATAATAAGATATAAAAGCAATAGACTGACGACAATGAAATAATTTACCGAAAAGCACAGATAACTATATTGTAGGTACCCGGGTACCTACACCGTCTTGTTTTTTTTTTCAGTCGCATAAAGGTTAAAAATCAAATTAAATGACACATTTACTGTTGCGGCGTACGTTATCGTATAGTTTTTTTTATTATTATTAGTATTATTGTGATAAGCTGACTATCGGTTTTACTCAGCGGAGAAAAACCAGTCTCCTAATAAATGCCTCACTATGCACAAATAGCAAAATTTCGTTTTTATTAATTTATAGGTAGGCGACCTAAGTAGCCTTCTTCTCGTAAAATAAAAAATACAGTACACATTCGCAACATTTACTGAAAAGCTTAATTTTTTCATCGTGTAATTGAATTAATTTTGTTATGACAATTAAAAAACATCAGGAATTGTTAGGAATTTTTTTCAGATTACATAAAAAATTATTTCAAATTTTCGTTTTGTTTTATTATTAACTTTTACAACATAAATCTACGCGAAATTTGTTTTACAGCATAAAAATCGGATTGTCAAAAGTAACAACAACATATATTTTTAACAAAAAAAACTTTGACAACTTGTGTAATAATATATAATATAATAATAAGTAATATACAATACAATAATATAATACATTATCTTTCTATAACATATTATCTAAAATAAAAATAAAAATAAAAAGAATAATGTAATAATGATAATAAAAGGTCCTAAAAGAAAATTTTAAACAGTACAATATTAATAATATAATTAGTAATTATAATAATAATGAATCACATTGGAAAAAAAATAGTAATACCCGTTCCGCTTCCGTTTTTACATGTTATTAGTATTCTTATTAATTTATGATAACACTATTTTTGCTTACTTAACTTAGTATATATTACACAGTGATATATATATATATATATATAGAAAACCAAATAGATAATAAATTATGATACATAAATGAAAAACGTCAAAAAAGTGACTGGTGACCTGTGTCTGGTGGTCGATATTAAAAATTATTAAGGCAACTTTGATTACGATTTTAACATTACATTATAAATATACAAACGAACGTTTACACGGCTGTCTCGTCAGATATCATTAACTACGATCAAAGAGGAATTATAATATCATATTAACAACAAGCTCGAAACGTTGCAATATATTAGCAGCAAGCTTTATAGTAGTTTATAAAACTTAGTAATATAATATTATACGTAGATATAGATAGTTAGAGAAATCAATAGAAAGTATATTTACTAGACGTAATAATTGAAAACGAAAAAATAACTAGAGTTCGACGGAACTGCGAATTAAAATATTTTATATCATTATATTATGTTCACAGAGTATATAATACATATACTAAATATATAAATGATGGATAATTATCACAGATTATTCTTTTTTTTCTTTTCTTTTTTTTTTTTTTTTGTAGGCATTCAAGAAACGTATTATTTATGTATAGCGTAAAAATGTTAACGACAATAATCAATAATTAACTTTAATATCTCATTAAAATACACTTTAATAATAACAACTTTTTCCTAGAACCACTTGCGATAAAAATTAAAAAAAAAAAGAATTTATTTACAATCATAAAATATTTACTTTACAGTTAGGTAAAAGCTTATCAAATACATTCGTATTTTTTTATTTTTATTTAACGTTAAATCATTGTTAAATTAAAATATATCTCAAAAAATGCATAGTAATTGGATAATAATAATCAAGTGAAACGAGTTGGCAGTTTGAAAATATAACAACACCTCACGTCGAGGCGATAAAAGAAAACAAGTAGGATACTTATTTATAAACAAGATAATAAAGTTATTGTGGTCCCTCGTGAAACAAAACGAATTAACTTTATCCTACCAACTAAAAATATTCATCTAAATTATCATTTAATTATAAATATTAATAGGTAGTTACTATCTCATCAATACTGTTAGCCATGTTTTTGAATTTTTTTTTTTTAATGACTTTATACAAGAGAACAATCATACTTCTAAATAATTATAATATATACTGTAAACAAGTTTTTTACAGGTAAGTAGAAAGATATTTGGGCGAGATATTATTAGGTATCATAGAGCAAAAAATGAATAGACAATTGTAAATTGTCCTTCTATAATAAATACCTATATGATAATTAAAAAGAAAACTAATCGATTTCTCTTGGTTTATAAAACCTACGAGTCCTTAATCGCTCTCGATGGAAACGATTAAAAAAATAATACGAAAATTTTAAAAAATATATTATGAAAGGTACACGTTAAGTTTAAGTAGAAATACAACATAGTTGCCTACACTTTTACACAACGCTAAATCACATTGTATATATTTAAAACATTGTACGCGATCGTTAATTTATATTATAAAATAAATACTTCAAAATAAGTACAAAAAAATTGAATAATGAATATTAATTTTAAAATAAAAACGGTGGTCATCTGACCGCAATAATATCGTACATTCTCAAAAAGCATTTCGAATCCAACCGTTGTGTTTTGTGTTCACATTTATCAAACAGTAAATTTCATTATCACCAATTTAACAAAAAAAATTTTGAAAAAAGCGTGTTTCATTACAGCTTAATCTAAATTTTTACATTTCATTATCGACGCATTTTTTTTTGTACTTTGGACTAAAGCGAAATTCGTATTAAGATTTTAAAGTTTGTTCGACCAACTATTCTTGAAAAATATTTTTGTTTGAATTAAGTTTAACCTATTCAAATTCAAATTTAAACGCTTTTATAATAAAAAAGTTATGACTTAATCGATTTTTACATTTGAGTTCTTTTGGGTAATTTTAAAATTTGACAGAAATAAAATGTAGAAAATTATAGTTATGACATGAGTTTTTATGCTTTAAAAATAGAATTCAAAAATAATTCAAAAGAAGGAGTTGAATCTTATGCAAATATTTGTATAAAAACGTTCGAAGCAAGCGAAATATATTGGCTATAATAAGTCCAGTGACTTTCGATGATTAAAAATATGATAATGATTAAAAGTTAAAAAATATACAAAATATTTTTTATAGATAATATTGACAAAATGTAAACAAAACAACAACGATTACGATAAAAACACAATAACGACATTATTTTTGAACCCGGTGATGATAACGGCGGTGGCAGCGGAGTTGGTGATTTCATTGTGTCGCTGAGCCTGACAACGAAAACGATGACGGCGGCGACGTTGGTTGGGGCCGGCCGCTGCTACCGGACAGCAAGGGTTAGCACCAATCGTCTTCATCCGAATCGCTGTGACGTCCACCAGACCCTCGGCTTTTGTTGAACGCCGTGGCCACCGTAGCGGCTCGTCTCGTTTTTGTAAAACCGTTACGCACCGGCGACGGTAGTAGCCGACCACTGCGTCCAATCGACATGGCCTGTTCAAAGCTCAATGGAGGCATGGCGGTCATTGCGATGCTACTTTGTCGGTTTAGTGACGACGGTTTTGGGAGAGATGCCGGTGAACCACGCGTGGGCGACGCATTCAGCTTGGGAAAATTTATGGACGCCGAATGCGGTGGCCTCAACTGAAGTGACGACGGTTTATTCGGCGTGGCCGGTAATCGGCGGCGATTGCAACCGGCTACGGCTAACACTGGGTAACTACTATTGACCAACAGTGACGGCGGTGGCATCATCATCATCATCGACGGTTGTGACGACGCCGATGGGTGATGGTGAGCGTGCTGCCTGATTACCGAAGGTTGAGACGGCTGCTGCGCCTGCTGTCGACCACTTCCCGTCGTTGATACTGGTGATGGCGAACGCGAACGCTGATCTAAGCTCGTAGTACCGTAGTAGGTTCGACCGCTCTCGGACCTATCTGGACTTGGTGACCGCACAGGGCTGGTTGATGCCGACCAAGAACCTGTTCATATATTAATTGTATTAGTGATTAATGGTATCGTGAACCCAAAATTTTGAAGCACTGTGATGGGAATGTTAGAAAAGATAAAACAAATTTGGTTTTAAGTACTCTTAGAAAATCATTTTTCTCTACAATAATCAAACGATATTTTAAATTGGTACTGAGATACGCTACCTCTAGGATGTCGACGATGCTCTTGTTTGACCATTTCGACCACATTAGACACGGTATCACTAAAGCCAACCTCGTGAGGATGTTGACTGTGGTGATAGTGATGACCATGAGAAGATAGATGATATCTCCTGGTTGGGGAAGGAGTTCTTCTTTCTCTCCTATAATTATATAATCCGTCAAAAAATGTCAAAATATTTATGTTTATCCATCATAAACATACCGAATGCTCGGTGACCGTGACCTTTGTTGTCTGTACCCAGGATGCAAGTGCATGGTCTGATTTTGAGGCTGATGGCCATCGGAGTTGGAATCATCGGATGGTCTTCGAGATGAAATCACTACATCTGTCAGCTCCATCACCTGCAAAAACCGTCCGGTTGCCCAGAGTATTAAGAAGAAGGCTTCCGCAAAAAACAATGGGAGCGCTTTCATTCTACGTGTTTTATCTTTTTTTAACGTGTATGAATAACGATAAAAAAAAGGTGTAATATCAAGTATAAAAATTACACCGAAACAACGTTTCCTTTTAATTAAATTTTTTTTAAAAATTTTAAACACTAAACCCATTACAATGTTATTACCAAGTTTAATAACCTTGTAGAAGATATGAAGTATTATTATATTTTGGAGAGATTATTATTTTTGATACTGTTAAACAGAAACATTGTTTACGTATATTATTTTAATTAATTTAAATAAATTTAATTAATTACTTACTCGATTAAATAATTAATTATATTCATAGAAATTAATATTTGTAGTTACAGTGATGTTTTTAGTTTTTCAACTGTGTTTATATACATAGATGTGTATTAATAGAAATTATTTCAATGCTACGTTATGTACCAATAAATGCATTTACATTGTCGGAACAAAATAAATAAAAATAAAAAAACTGTGCGAATAGTTATTTTTCGAGATGAACTTTCGGGTCAATATTATCGAATTTCCAGGAATTTGGACGTAAGCTTGGCCGGTAGTAGATAAATACTTTCGTTATCAACATAAAATTGTTAACAATCAGCCAACACAGTTTTAAGCTGTTTTTGAGAGTATAATGTCTGTCGTTTCATCGACCGACCACAGTTCTATTTTACAAATACGTTAACACGTTTATATGTAACAAAATGTCGATAAGACCATGAAAAATAAGTACATGCAAATTTTTGCGTCACATGCATCGTGCAAAGTAATATTATAACAACAGTAATTATTACACATAAATAAATCTATGTAAACAGTATACAGTCAACGATCTAGTGTTTACAATAGGTACACGAACACGTTGACTGGACGTTAGTGTTCAGCTATTAGTTTCAGTATCCTGAAATAGTTTGCCTAAAATTTAGGATCGATAGTACTTGTTTAAATTATCGACAGTCTAAGGAATAGTAATATAAAAACGAGAATACACAACAACAGCACGCCTTAATGGTGCGCCATTTTACCTAAATCTAAACATTACTATGTCAAGTACAATAATATTTGTACCAATGTCAAAGAATTAATATATTAGTAGATAACTACTGAATGACGTTATATTTGTTTACAAAATAACGATACATTTATAACGAAATTAAACGAATCTAATATTATATCTAAATGTTTACTAACTAAGTTTTAGCTATGACGTTAAGTATTAGAACCGTAATACAATTGTTTTCATCTATTTTAAAATATCAAGTAAATAAGTCAACAATGACCGGAACGATAGTTACTTTTCAATATGAAGAGTTCCATCAAGTGACTATAGTCTATGCAACCACACAACAATAACAATAACAACAACAACCACTAAATTAATCAACATAAATTATTATATTGGTTGACGAAACCCTCATTTACCGAAATTCGTAAGATTCGAAGGTTCTACATTTAAAGAAATACCAAAAAATAAGAATAAAAATATCATAATGATAAAATTAAACAAAACCAAAAAACAACAAAGTATTATTATTTTAAAATAAAACACAAGGCTATGTTCTCCAGGAGCCGACTATAAAATCTCAAACCATGAAATCGTCAATACCTTTTCTAAAATATCGCCACGCCTCCTTCTCAAACGTTTGGATTGTGTTAGAAACCGCTGAAAATACATAAACACAGAACCGTTTTACACACAGATTGTAGTCACTTGACAAATTTATAGGATAATTAACCCGAGAATACAATAAGTAATGTTAAAAAATTTATTCGATTTTGAACACAATTTTTTTGGTAAAAAATTATTATTACTATGGAAGGGTATAGGACGATTAGAGATAATTTAGATCCTAAAAAGGTAAGGAAAAATAGAATTTTTTATTTGTTGGAATAGAATTTACATAATAAGAAGGTAATTCAACACTCGGGAATATCAATAGGGTTATAATTACTGAATTGGCATACAATCATCACCTTTTTAGACCTGAAACAAAAAAAAAAAAATTTATTTTTTATTAAGATCAAAATATAAATATAAATAAAATAAATATTTTTTTAGCTTCGATGCGAAGCTGAGAAGGTATTGGTTTTACTAAGATGTGTTTATTTTTTATTTTTTTTTTGTGTCTGTTACCACTTTTTCTCAGCTCTCACCGATTTCTTTCAATGATACGTCAAAAGATCACAAATCGTATCTAGTCGAAGACATTACCCTCAAAAATTGAAAAAAATTCCCCCGTTCCCCGTAAATGGCGGAAACCTCCAAAAAAATTACAAATTTAAAAATCGCTAATTTTCGAAATTTTTTCAATTTTTTTTACTTAAAAATGCCATAACTTTTTCAAAAATAAACATATCAATATAAATTTTTTTTATATAGATGCATGATATCATTACCTTTCATTTGGGCTATTTTTTTCATAAATTTAACCCTTAACCTGCCCACAAGGGAGGATTTAAAATGACAACTTTTTCACAAAAAATTAACTTTTTCAACTTAACTTTTGANTCCAACCGTTGTGTTTTGTGTTCACATTTATCAAACAGTAAATTTCATTATCACCAATTTAACAAAAAAAATTTTGAAAAAAGCGTGTTTCATTACAGCTTAATCTAAATTTTTACATTTCATTATCGACGCATTTTTTTTTGTACTTTGGACTAAAGCGAAATTCGTATTAAGATTTTAAAGTTTGTTCGACCAACTATTCTTGAAAAATATTTTTGTTTGAATTAAGTTTAACCTATTCAAATTCAAATTTAAACGCTTTTATAATAAAAAAGTTATGACTTAATCGATTTTTACATTTGAGTTCTTTTGGGTAATTTTAAAATTTGACAGAAATAAAATGTAGAAAATTATAGTTATGACATGAGTTTTTATGCTTTAAAAATAGAATTCAAAAATAATTCAAAAGAAGGAGTTGAATCTTATGCAAATATTTGTATAAAAACGTTCGAAGCAAGCGAAATATATTGGCTATAATAAGTCCAGTGACTTTCGATGATTAAAAATATGATAATGATTAAAAGTTAAAAAATATACAAAATATTTTTTATAGATAATGTTGACAAAATGTAAACAAAACAACAACGATTACGATAAAAACACAATAACGACATTATTTTTGAACCCGGTGATGATAACGGCGGTGGCAGCGGAGTTGGTGATTTCATTGTGTCGCTGAGCCTGACAACGAAAACGATGACGGCGGCGACGTTGGTTGGGGCCGGCCGCTGCTACCGGACAGCAAGGGTTAGCACCAATCGTCTTCATCCGAATCGCTGTGACGTCCACCAGACCCTCGGCTTTTGTTGAACGCCGTGGCCACCGTAGCGGCTCGTCTCGTTTTTGTAAAACCGTTACGCACCGGCGACGGTAGTAGCCGACCACTGCGTCCAATCGACATGGCCTGTTCAAAGCTCAATGGAGGCATGGCGGTCATTGCGATGCTACTTTGTCGGTTTAGTGACGACGGTTTTGGGAGAGATGCCGGTGAACCACGCGTGGGCGACGCATTCAGCTTGGGAAAATTTATGGACGCCGAATGCGGTGGCCTCAACTGAAGTGACGACGGTTTATTCGGCGTGGCCGGTAATCGGCGGCGATTGCAACCGGCTACGGCTAACACTGGGTAACTACTATTGACCAACAGTGACGGCGGTGGCATCATCATCATCATCGACGGTTGTGACGACGCCGATGGGTGATGGTGAGCGTGCTGCCTGATTACCGAAGGTTGAGACGGCTGCTGCGCCTGCTGTCGACCACTTCCCGTCGTTGATACTGGTGATGGCGAACGCGAACGCTGATCTAAGCTCGTAGTACCGTAGTAGGTTCGACCGCTCTCTGACCTATCTGGACTTGGTGACCGCACAGGGCTGGTTGATGCCGACCAAGAACCTGTTCATATATTAATTGTATTAGTGATTAATGGTATCGTGAACCCAAAATTTTGAAGCACTGTGATGGGAATGTTAGAAAAGATAAAACAAATTTGGTTTTAAGTACTCTTAGAAAATCATTTTTCTCTACAATAATCAAACGATATTTTAAATTGGTACTGAGATACGCTACCTCTAGGATGTCGACGATGCTCTTGTTTGACCATTTCGACCACATTAGACACGGTATCACTAAAGCCAACCTCGTGAGGATGTTGACTGTGGTGATAGTGATGACCATGAGAAGATAGATGATATCTCCTGGTTGGGGAAGGAGTTCTTCTTTCTCTCCTATAATTATATAATCCGTCAAAAAATGTCAAAATATTTATGTTTATCCATCATAAACATACCGAATGCTCGGTGACCGTGACCTTTGTTGTCTGTACCCAGGATGCAAGTGCATGGTCTGATTTTGAGGCTGATGGCCATCGGAGTTGGAATCATCGGATGGTCTTCGAGATGAAATCACTACATCTGTCAGCTCCATCACCTGCAAAAACCGTCCGGTTGCCCAGAGTATTAAGAAGAAGGCTTCCGCAAAAAACAATGGGAGCGCTTTCATTCTACGTGTTTTATCTTTTTTTAACGTGTATGAATAACGATAAAAAAAAGGTGTAATATCAAGTATAAAAATTACACCAAAACAACGTTTCCTTTTAATTAAATTTTTTTTAAAAATTTTAAACACTAAACCCATTACAATGTTATTACCAAGTTTAATAACCTTGTAGAAGATATGAAGTATTATTATATTTTGGAGAGATTATTATTTTTGATACTGTTAAACAGAAACATTGTTTACGTATATTATTTTAATTAATTTAAATAAATTTAATTAATTACTTACTCGATTAAATAATTAATTATATTCATAGAAATTAATATTTGTAGTTACAGTGATGTTTTTAGTTTTTCAACTGTGTTTATATACATAGATGTGTATTAATAGAAATTATTTCAATGCTACGTTATGTACCAATAAATGCATTTACATTGTCGGAACAAAATAAATAAAAATAAAAAAACTGTGCGAATAGTTATTTTTCGAGATGAACTTTCGGGTCAATATTATCGAATTTCCAGGAATTTGGACGTAAGCTTGGCCGGTAGTAGATAAATACTTTCGTTATCAACATAAAATTGTTAACAATCAGCCAACACAGTTTTAAGCTGTTTTTGAGAGTATAATGTCTGTCGTTTCATCGACCGACCACAGTTCTATTTTACAAATACGTTAACACGTTTATATGTAACAAAATGTCGATAAGACCATGAAAAATAAGTACATGCAAATTTTTGCGTCACATGCATCGTGCAAAGTAATATTATAACAACAGTAATTATTACACATAAATAAATCTATGTAAACAGTATACAGTCAACGATCTAGTGTTTACAATAGGTACACGAACACGTTGACTGGACGTTAGTGTTCAGCTATTAGTTTCAGTATCCTGAAATAGTTTGCCTAAAATTTAGGATCGATAGTACTTGTTTAAATTATCGACAGTCTAAGGAATAGTAATATAAAAACGAGAATACACAACAACAGCACGCCTTAATGGTGCGCCATTTTACCTAAATCTAAACATTACTATGTCAAGTACAATAATATTTGTACCAATGTCAAAGAATTAATATATTAGTAGATAGATAACTACTGAATGACGTTATATTTGTTTACAAAATAACGATACATTTATAACGAAATTAAACGAATCTAATATTATATCTAAATGTTTACTAACTAAGTTTTAGCTATGACGTTAAGTATTAGAACCGTAATACAATTGTTTTCATCTATTTTAAAATATCAAGTAAATAAGTCAACAATGACCGGAACGATAGTTACTTTTCAATATGAAGAGTTCCATCAAGTGACTATAGTCTATGCAACCACACAACAATAACAATAACAACAACAACCACTAAATTAATCAACATAAATTATTATATTGGTTGACGAAACCCTCATTTACCGAAATTCGTAAGATTCGAAGGTTCTACATTTAAAGAAATACCAAAAAATAAGAATAAAAATATCATAATGATAAAATTAAACAAAACCAAAAAACAACAAAGTATTATTATTTTAAAATAAAACACAAGGCTATGTTCTCCAGGAGCCGACTATAAAATCTCAAACCATGAAATCGTCAATACCTTTTCTAAAATATCGCCACGCCTCCTTCTCAAACGTTTGGATTGTGTTAGAAACCGCTGAAAATACATAAACACAGAACCGTTTTACACACAGATTGTAGTCACTTGACAAATTTATAGGATAATTAACCCGAGAATACAATAAGTAATGTTAAAAAATTTATTCGATTTTGAACACAATTTTTTTGGTAAAAAATTATTATTACTATGGAAGGGTATAGGACGATTAGAGATATTTTAGATCCTAAAAAGGTAAGGAAAAATAGAATTTTTTATTTGTTGGAATAGAATTTACATAATAAGAAGGTAATTCAACACTCGGGAATATCAATAGGGTTATAATTACTGAATTGGCATACAATCATCACCTTTTTAGACCTGAAACAAAAAAAAAAAAATTTATTTTTTATTAAGATCAAAATATAAATATAAATAAAATAAATATTTTTTTAGCTTCGATGCGAAGCTGAGAAGGTATTGGTTTTACTAAGATGTGTTTATTTTTTATTTTTTTTTTGTGTCTGTTACCACTTTTTCTCAGCTCTCACCGATTTCTTTCAATGATACGTCAAAAGATCACAAATCGTATCTAGTCGAAGACATTACCCTCAAAAATTGAAAAAAATTCCCCCGTTCCCCGTAAATGGGGGAAACCTCCAAAAAAATTACAAATTTAAAAATCGCTAATTTTCGAAATTTTTTCAATTTTTTTTACTTAAAAATGCCATAACTTTTTCAAAAATAAACATATCAATATAAATTTTTTTTATATAGATGCATGATATCATTACCTTTCATTTGGGCTATTTTTTTCATAAATTTAACCCTTAACCTGCCCACAAGGGAGGATTTAAAATGACAACTTTTTCACAAAAAATTAACTTTTTCAACTTAACTTTTGAAAATGTTCCGGAAGGTCTGACACTTTTATATATATCATAAATTAAAGCTAATGTAATATACTTTATTATGGAAAAAAAAAATTTCGGACTTTATTTTGTCTTTATGGTGAAAATGGCTACCATATGCTATTTTTGTGTTAAAATTCTCGATTTTATATTTTACATTTTTAACTTTAAAATGTATGGATCAATACAATTTTTTTATATGAAATAATATTTATACCTCTCTTTCATTCGACATACTTTTTTTTTAAATCGGACCATTTTCCTTCATGCAGAGGGGGCTCAAAACATAAAAATGCATATAGAAAGTAGAATTTTTTCAACTTAAATTTTGAAAGTGTTCCGGAAAGTCTGACACTTTTATATATACCTTAAATTAAAGCTAATGTAATGTACTTTATTATGTAAAAAAAAAATTTCAGACTCTATTTTGTCTTCACGATGAAAATGGCTATCAAATGCTATTATTGTGTGAAAATTCTCGATTTTATTTTTGACATTTTTAACTTTATAATGCTATAACTTATTGAAAAGTGTATGGATTTGCATCGAAGCGTTTTTTTTTTGATAGTGATTTTAATCACTGTCAGATATCATTATACTAGATCCAACTATGCCACGTCACCACTGTGCCGCGACCTCCCTGTGCTGGGTTTTTTTATGTTTTCATGGCTCTCAAGAGTTGGTTTCTGACCAAAAATACTCGGGTTAATAGGTCTTTTGGAGAGAAGAAAGGCGACTTCGACCTATTTTGAACCCAAGACAGTGCATATCAGGCCCTGCCACATTAACGACTCAGCCGCGTCATCCCTTTTTAGTCAAAATATAAATAATAAAAAAAATATCTAATGATAAGTACACAGTAAAAATATCATAAAAGTCTTTATTATCGAAATAAATTTAAAGTATGAGAGCTCATAAAATTATATTATATTTTTAAATTTATTTACAATATGATAATATTAAGTAGCGGCATAATTAGAGTTTCGTCTTGATGGTTTATATACAGGGTGGCCCACCACTCACTGACAACTTAAATAACTTTTGATCCAGTTAATATTTTTAGTTGATTTTTTTTTTAAATAATAGTTATACGTTAGGTCTATAGCTATATCTCAATAATTAATTTTTTTACATTTTATTAAAAATATTAATTATTTTTAAATTTTAAATAAAATGTAAAAAAAAAATCTAAGATAGCTATTTTGTAGAGTAGAATTTAAGAAAAATTTTAGTAAAAAAATATCTTATTAATATTCAGTAGTAAATATTCTGTAGCGTTTTGAAGTTTGTAAAAATTTGAATTTTCATGTACTATTTTACGGTTATAAACATTGAAATACGTATTGAGAAAAGTAAACGCTATCTTTTCATGATTACTGTGTATACATTATGATGATAGTGTGTATACATTACAAACTTGGCATAAATGTCATGATAAGAAATTAGATAAGGCAATTATTACTTATCATTCTCATTCAAAAGTATATTGAAAAGATAGCGTTTACTTCTGTCCTTTTCTCAATTGTATTTCAATGTTTAATGCCGTAAAATAGTAAATGAAAATTCAAATTTTTACAAACTTCAAAACGCTACAGAATATTTACTACTGAATATTAATAAGATATTTTTTTACTAAAATTTTTCTTAAATTCTACTCTACAAAATAGCTATCTTAGATTTTTTTTTTACTTTTTATTAAAATTTTGAAAATATTTAATATTTTTAATAAAATGTAAAAAAATTAATTATTGAGATATAGCTAAAGACCTAACGTATAACTATTATTTAAAAAAAAAATCAACTAAAAATATTAACTAGATCAAAAGTTATTTAAGTTGTCAGTGAATGGTGAGCCATCCCGTATATAAGAAAATTTTTCACTTCCTCTAAACGAAAAAAAAATTGTATCTTTATCACATAATTGTTCTTATCATTAGAGGTGGTATGACATCCATATCTCCAATCATTATGCCAGCGATGTTAAGGAATTGTTCCCCCAAATATGGTCCATTCCTTTATGATACAGCAAATATTTTATAATTTAAATATATTTATTAGGAATTTTAAATTGGAAATCTTATTTTATAAATTCGCTAACGACTTAAATTTTTAATAATCCGTTATAATTATTTGTTTAGAGACAATTACATTTAAACACAATAGTCACATCTAATGATGTCTACAGTGAATAAGTTACCTGTTTTTTGAGTTGTTTCTTGTAAGTAGACAGCTGTTTTCATCCTCGTCTTGTCCTCTTTCAGCGTTCCAATTCGATGCACCGGCCGCCTCCATCAGGCAGGTAAAGAATGACGAATGCTGTTTGAAATTTGTACATAATAATGTTTTATAGCGAAAGAGAATAGCATAAAGTAATAAAAATATTAAACTAGATAAATGGAAAAAACAATAAAAAGTTTAGCGATAAATTACGTAATAGCTTAATAGATGTGCAACTGTGTGCAGCTATAGTAATGAATGATTTTTAAATAGCCTAACCATCACCACATGTCCCTAATAAAGCTTTCATAAAAGTATACGTTTTAGTTTATTGTACGAAGATATTTAAAAAGCTTTGTCATTAAGCGGGTGAAATAAGCTTGAAATATAAGTAAAAAAAATATGAATGTTATTTTACTTTTTATTTTCAAAAAAACGTGTTTATATATTTTTTTGATGTTAATAAATATATATATATATATTTTTTTTTATCGTTATAATTTTTAATAAAATAGAAAATATATGTTAAAAGATTGTAGACTAATTACATGCATAGCTAAAATAAAAATAATTAGGTATAATAAATACAACATGCTCATTCCATATTTTCTATAACAATTATAATACAAAGCTGAATTAAAAATTCAGAACGTATTCGATAAAATGACTCATAAGAATTCTTCAAAAATATATTTCATTGTAAATGAATTATTTTAACTAATGTACTTTAATATTAAAAATTATTTTTATAGTTCGATAATTAAAAATTAAAATTAAGGAAAATACTCTTTAAATTTTATAACATTAATTAAATTATAAAATATTTCATAAATTTCACATTGTTGTAAATTAATTATATTATATTATTATATTAATAGATCTAATTAAGTATAAACATATTTTTAATCTTCATCTTAGTGACAACACGTTTTGAATTCTTGATTTGTAATGTCAATATCGATTAATGTTCCTATGAATTTTTGTAAATTAAGAAAATTTTAAATATTTTTTTTATATTATGTAAAAAACTTAACTAACGCAACAAATTGAAAAAACTGTACGTTATTTTGTAAAAAATACTTAAAGACATACAGTGATAGAAAATAAAAATTACATTTTATTTTTTCTAAAATGCCAATCTAAAAAGAGACCCGTGCGTACATATAATTTACATATTAATAATTAGATAATAACTATTTGTAATCGTAATAAATTTAACGAAATAAATATGATACTAAATAAGTATATAAATAATATACAAAGAATCTAAAATAGTCAACTGAACTGTGGTCTAATAAATGAACAAAAAATGTCTATACGATGTACGAATAATATTCTAGAATGTATGCATATTCTATATAAATGTTAATAAACATTACTTTATTTTAATAGACAAAGTACACAGTAGCAGATTTGGTGTACCAATGGGGATGGGATTAATGGTCTGGGATTAATACAGTGCTTTAAATAGACAAGTATTTAATAAAAAAAATATATAATAAACAAATAAAATAAAATAAAAACTATGTAAAATAATAAAAACGATAATAATAACAATTAATAAAAATATTATTATATATAGACAAAGTTATTGATGATTGTGTAAACGTGAATTTAACCATCGATTATAACAGTAAAAAATTTTTTAAATAAATACCACTAAGTGAAATATTAATCAAAACCCAAGGGGAAACGCTTTCATCTAAATTTTTTTTAAATAATCATAATATTTTAAGATTTATTACATAAGATAATAAAAACGTTTCACTTTGGTATCTACATTAGATATAATATGTAAACGTCAAGAAGAAAATGTACAATGAATAAACATAAATAAGTAATAATAATAAAAGTATTAAAAATAATAAATAATTAAAATAAAAAAAAATGTTTATAAACTCAAATAAATACTACCGGCTCTGGGGAACTATGTTCTGCAATGTCCTGAAAGCAAACACATAAATATAAACTGTCTATCTTTGTCGATTGTTTTCGGATTTCTTTTCTGGGTTTGGACATCATTCACCCAATTAAGATTTTTTAAATATCCATGCTCAAATATGTATGTGTATAAGCACATACAAATATTGTAAATTCATTAATTTTTATTCTACAGATATATACTCTAAGCCTAAAAATAGTGTTCCACAGTTTCTTATACCTAAGATTAAAATTTTACTTAAAAGTAAATGATAATAACATTTCTCACGCATACATTTTGTGCATATTCTACACTATATCAAATTTCACTGTGATAATAATATTATAATGTACCTACATCGCTGTCTATCACCTATCTACTTTATAATACTTAATTCCTATGTATAATAATAAATGTATAATAAAAAAAAATTGTGTCCAATAAAACAAAAACAATAATAATAATTAAATATTGTTTTAGCTAAAAAAATTTCCTACAATTTTTCCAAAAAAAAAAATTTATAACGATCAAAAAAACACATACGATCTCTTATTGGTACTCCGTGATTCTTTATAAAAATTATTGGGGCTTTTAACACAAAAAACAAATACAAACACTAAAATAAATAAAAATATCATCAAGTATGTATGAACATATAAAGATAAAATATGTTTGTCTGTGTGTTCATGAAATTACATCATGTAGTAATAAAATATTAAATTGAAAATTATTTTAAAGAAAATAAAATAATATATTAAATATTATTTTAATTCTTCTCAGTTTTTATAAAAATATCTCGTACATTTCTTTTATTTGGACAATCGCAAAAAAAAAAAATCAATCTTTATTTGGGGTTGTAAATTAATTGAAAAAATAAAAATCAAATTGTACATGCTCTATACATCAAACAAAAAAAAACAGAGAAACACAATTAAATCAAAGAAAATATTTAAAATAAACAATAACGATTAAAAAAAAAATGTGGCACACATCTTAAACACTGTAAAGTTTCATAACACAAAACACTGGGAATGTAATAAAATGTATAAACTAAAATAAACCAATGAATCCGAGGGTTAAACAAAAATATCACTCAAACATAATAAACAACCAGCAATAATATTTTTTTTATACAACTTATAATTGAAAAAATGTTAATTTAATTATTTGTATATATTATATTTTTTGTAAAGTTATTTCATTAAATAAGATTTACTCGGTAAATTTTTATTATTTATTTTTTTTTGTCCTATATATTTTAAGAGTATTAATAATCACTCCTACATTTTGTTACTTTTATAAGTTTTCTTACGAAAATATTTAAATATCTGTAATATTTCTAAGATTAAAAATCATGTTTATGATAAAATGCAATATTACCTGAGGATTCGTTGACTCGATTTGTCCGAATCTTGTCGATTTCCAACTCTCTAATATTAACAGTCCAGCATAAATTTTGCCAACAGTTAGCTTACCAGCATTTAAACCTAAAGATATTATTAAAATTCAAATAAAATCTCAAAATAATTCAATATTATCATTATTATGAATAGCACCCACAGTCTATTCTAGGGATGATCAAATCTAAAATCTTTCTTGCTTGTAACGGCCAAATATGTCGAATAGTCTCACGCAATTCTTCATCTGCTTGATCCATCTCTTCGGCTGAAATACGAATATAAAAATAGAAACATTAAAATAAAAACAAGAGACTTAAAATATAACCGATAAAATTATCAAATTACCACAACGCATTTTGATGCTGAGATTCTCTCGTATGAGCGCAAACAATGTTGTCGTAAACTGAACTTTACCATCTTGATCTACTGGCATATTCATTCGAATGAGTTTTTTATACGCCAAACGATTTGGACACTTGTTTCCAAAACCCAGAGGTGGATCGATATTTTTTAGCATATCATACATCTCCGTATAATGAATTTTCCCCCTAAAAAATCAAATAATGGTAATTGAGTCTTATTTCATAATAAATTTATTATTTTTATTCCAAACTTAGATTACTATAACAGATATTGAGTATTTTTAAAAACAAAAGTATGTCAACGTACGTTGCATTAGGGTCATATTCGGCCCAAATCCGAACAAACTCGTCTAAATGATGAGCACCTAAAATGGACGAATCTCTTGTCAGGTAGTCAAAATTGTCCATAATGACGGCAACGAACAAGTTCAACATCTATAAAACCATTTTCAATAAGAATAATATAACAATAATCCAAACGAAGTTTAGTTAAAAGTTGAGAGCGCTTTACAATAAAATGATAAATTTACCAAAAATGAACAAAAGAATATAAATGATACAAAGTACATGTAAGCCATGTTAGAACCACAATCATAACTCTTGGGTTTGTTTGCTCCATTCGATCCACTCGCACACTCTTTGCCTTTTATACACGACAACATGATATCCGGCCAAGCTTCTCCGGTAGCGCACCTGTAAATTAACAAAAATCCCATTGAGAAATAAAAAGAAATCCTATAAAAGTTGTTGTCCATTGAATGTTTTACCGAAACAGTAACATTAACCCTTGCACAAACGTTTGAAAATTGTTGTGCCTGTTGATTTGATTTTCTGGATTCAGGGCTATGTTACCAAAAATCTGTGAAAATTCCATAGTGTTAATAAATGAAAACAATTAAAAATAAGTTCTTAAATACAAACTTATAAATATTAATTTATATACCTGCATTCCGATAATTGCATAAATAAAGAACAACATGCCGATGAGCAGACAAACGTATGGTAAGGCCTATTGAAACAAAAAAAACACAATCAATAATAGAACAAGATGACTTAAATCTGCGCGTGATATATGTCAACGAACTTTGAACGATTGAACGAACGTCCACAACAATATTCGTATCGTGTACCCTTGTCGGAGTAACTTAATGAGTCTGGCGGCTCGAAATAACCGAAGAAATCCAACATTGATGAAGTTTTCCTGTAACAACGAAAAGTGAGATGCTTTTATAAAAGAAATAAATTGGCGTTTAAATTTTTCTTTTTTGACAATTTCTATATGCGCGACTATTTGTTTATTTTTCTCAATGTGACAATACTATCGCTTGTGTCAATTTTTTTGTAATTTAAATGGCATTGCAAAATTTCAGAATTTAGAAAATTTGGAAAAATAACGCAGGATGCGCATATATTAGTGCGACTAAAATTTGTATTTTCAGTTCAATTTTTTATGCATTTCGAAATTATCTTAATAATCGGTTGAAAACAAATTCATTTTCTAAACGAGATTCAATCATAAGCATTATTTTCATAATTTTCAGCAAATTTAACTGCAGAGACAATAGCAATAGCAATAGCTTTTTAATAATAAGATTAGCAGCTTTAGCATCAGCATTAATATTAATGGCGTTAATAGTTATAGCAACGACGCATACAAATTCCATTTATTATTAAGCCTAAAGAGTTTTGCGCAAGGTTATCTTATTTTCATAATTATGACTAAATGAGATGTTTAAAATATATTCGTTAAAGGATTGTGTCCAAATGTATAAACAAATGTACTTAATATATTGTAATAAGCCATTTTTTTTTTTTTATGAAATATTTAGTTTCTTTTAGATCTTCTAAAAATATTTTAACTGATAATAATTAAATTATATTTATTTTAATATCCGTTTTAATTAATTAAAAAGCTATATTTCATATATCAAAACAAAAGTTACAATTTTTATAACTTATATATATATATATATAAATATAATATTGTGTACATAAGGTACATCGATTTATTTTGCCTCACAAAATATATTTAAAAATATGGACATATTACCAACATTTTTTGGAAATGAGAGAATACTATTAACTTTTGAAAATAAAAATTATAATATCTTTTACATTTTTTAATTTTTTTTGGGCGCATAGTTAATGAATCACTTTTTGTAATAAATTATATATTATATAATATATATATATATATATTTACATTTTAATTTCAACTTTGGATCATTTATAGAAAATAATAAAAATCATTAAAATTTAGACAAATTGAAAAATTAGTCAATCTTAAATAGTTACTCAGCTTTACTATTGGTAAATCTCATTCAGTACATAACTGTTAATAGCAGGGACTGGGACAGTGCGATTTGTATACAGTTTCGGAATCAGTTAGAAAAACCGAAAACAATCGGTATTAACCGATTATAACTAGTTTCCAGAAAACAGGTTTCAGTCCATATAGCAATTATTATTGCATAAATTATTGTAACCTAATCATTTACATGACTTAGCAAATCAAAATTTATTTGTACTACACACGAGGGGTGTTCAGAAAATAACGGAAATTTTTTAATTTCACGGTTTTGGAGTATCCAATTATCAAAAAAACAAGGGTTATTGAATAGTATAATCGTTTCCAAAATGGCTGTGAAGATGCCGAAGATGACGAATGCTTCGGAGGCCCCAGCACAACAACAACAGGTGAAAACGTTGAAAAAGTGAAAGAAATGGTTATGAACGATCGCCGAATCACAATCAGAAAAGTCGCTGATGATGTTGGAATAATAATTGGCTCATGTCATTTAATTTTTTTAAATTTTTTGTGTATGAAATGCATAGCAGCAAAATTTGTTCCAAAATTTTGGAATTTTAACAAAAACAGCGGCGATTGGAAGTTACTCAGAAGTCACTTAATGAAGCCAACGACGATGCAGAATTACTGAAACGTTTTATAAAAAGTGATGAAACATGGGTTTATGGATATAACATCGAAACTAAGGCTAAATCTTCCCAGTGGAGGTATTCTGGTTCGCTAAGACCGTTAAAGGCTCGACAAGTGCGATCGAACGTGTAGGTTATACTTACTGTGTTCTTCGATTTGAATGTCATATGCCACGAGGTTAAATAGTCAATAAGAAGTACTACCTACAAGTTCAACGCCGTTTATGTGAAGAGTAATCCGAAAAAACGCTCGGATTTGTGGGAAAACAATTCATGGCTTTTGCACCACGATAATGCCAAAACCCAACCTGCTCACATTTCATTGCACATTCGTGAATGTTTAGCCAATAACAAAACTGTAACAATGCCCCAGCTTCCATATTCGCTAGACATAGCTCTGTGTGACTATTTTCTATTTCCAAAAATAAAGAGAACCGGGCCGTCGTTTTACAAGCATTCATGACATTAGAAGCACATCGTTGAATGAGCTGAAAGCTATCACAAAGATCGAGTTTGAGAAGTGTTTCGAGGATTGGAAAAAGCGTTAGCATAAGTGCATAATATCTAATGGGGACTTTATTAAAAGCGAGAACATTAATGTAGACAAATAAACAAATATTGTTTCAAAAAAAGAAAATGCCTGTTATTTTCTGAACACACCTCGTACATATTTTTTGTACTATTCAGTTTTCTAATTTTATGCGCTAGAAATTGGTCTACGTACGCCTGTTTGAGTGTCAAAGATTCCAAAATCATTTTTTAATTGTAGATTTAGTCGAGTTTTATTAATTATTTCTGCATTTAATACAAACTGTTTTTAAATCAACACTATTTCAATTAGTTAGCGAGTATTTAAATCTTTGAATTGGAATTTTAATTATCACCTAATTAGATATAAACCTTATAAAATGTTCCTGATGTTGAGATTTTTGAAGTAAATTATCTATTAATTTCTACACAAATACACTTAATTAAATATGTAAACTATTATTTAAAAATTAGTAATAAAACTATGGTTTTGATTTCATTGTACATGTCAATAGCGAATTGTAAGAACAAAAGTAGTCATAGAAATTAATAATATTGAGAACGCAAAAAAAAAATTTAATAAAAACTTAACTTTTTATTTTTAGGTTTTGATTTTCTTTATTTTTAATACGTGTTCATGATTAGAATTTGTACAGACGCATATTGACCATGATAGGTAGATATTATTATTAGCGATATTTTATAATGTGCTACGTATACATCTATAATTTAGCTATATTGTACACCTTATGCATATGTTATAGTAACGTATTTACATCATAATCATACAAATTACATTAATATTAGTTATAAAACCATGTCCAGACGACCAAATAAAAATTACAAAAGAACACATTCATCAACAGTAAACAAGTGCTGTCTACAACGGATGCAACAAAAGGATGCGTAGTCCTAATGTTTTAAACTAGCTATTTACCTCCGAAACCTTCTCGAACAGCATTTTTTGTTCTTTGACTATATCTTTCTCGAACATAATTCTGTACACATAAGTGAGGTCTTCCTAAATAATAGTAAAAGGGTTACAAATAATTCCCAAGCGTTAGCTTTGTTTCAATCCTAACATTAAAAAATTAAAACCTCGCATAAAAAATATCCTAATGGTAAAGTTTTTACTATTAGATAAAAATGAGATAGAAATAATCTCTAATTTTGTCATTAGACTTTTTTTTTTTAATATTTTTATTAGAATTGTAAAACTATGAAAGACTAATTTAAAGGAAAATTACATGTTAAAAAGTACAAATTAAGAATGTACCTATAGAAATACATTCCAGTTTTATAATATTCGTCAAACTTTTGAAAAATAAATAATTCATTAATTACTAAAAATTGCATAAGTGATTTTCAATTCAATTTTCTTATTCAAACTAATTACAAACAAAATAATAATAACAAACTTATTTTATGAGTTTACAGAATATTCTTAATACTGAAAGATTATTTTTATTTAATCCATAGTTAAAATCAAATATTTTTTAGTTAATAAAATAATGAATACTTTTAATTTGTCACATAAAAATATTTTAATTTAATTTTCAAATCGTTAGATGTAATGAATTTTCAATAATAACTGGAACATATTTTTATTTAACACATATTAAAATTTAATTTTGAAAAAGTTTACCGAAAATTTTCTTATAATTTATTTTTCAAAATAATTATTCAGTATTTTATAAATTAATAGAATACCATTGATGATGATCGTTCTAGAGAATAAAACAAAAAAATATTTTACGAGTATTTTTTCTCTAAAAAAAAAAACAACAACAACAAATAAGAAACGGGATGACATATTATCGAATGAAATTCCTGTGTATTCATAAAATAATAAATAAATTAATATTATTCAAATAAAGCTCTTACCCCAAACTCAATGACCAACGCGTCCACAATACTGCCAATAACGGTGATAAAGTCAAAAATATTCCATGGATCTTTAAAAAAATTCTGAAAATCGTTTTTTAAAGCAAGGTAATGAGTTGAAAATGTTTTTTGTTAGGAGTAACGTTTATTTACAAATATTACAAATGCTTTCCATTGATAAATTTTGGAAAACTATAACATATGTACTTAATTTGATAAAAAGTGAATATACTAATTAAAAATAATTATATTATATTAACGTAATTAATGTAAGTGTTACCTTGAATCCGTACGCGATGAGTTTTAAGACACATTCTACCAGAAATAACAGCGTGAAAATATGACTCAGGATCAGTAAGACATTGTAAAATAGATGCGATTCGCGATGGTGCTGCAGCCACAGAATGAACAATCAAACAAAAGCAATATTTTAATATTACACAGGCAACTAATTAAGTAGCATCGATTAATTTATTAAAAACTAATTTCTTAAAATATATTATTTCCTAGAGAAATTCTAAACTAATTTGTACAGACACTATACGAAATTCATAGTTTTTATCCAAAGATAGTGTAGTATATTCACTCTTTTAAGTGAATTTCCTAATTTAATTTAATTATAAAATATAAAATTTTATTTTTATTACTTGTAAGCTCATTTGATAATCAATAGGAATTCCGTATAATGTTAAGTTATTCAACTATGTGTACTAAAAATTATGATTAATGGAAAGGTGTTTTAACTTTAATACAACTATTTTCTAATTCATAAACCAATAACATGTTAACAGTGTGGCTTTCCTATAGTAGTTTGACATTAGACATCCTAAATATTATACGCTTGCTTGCAACCTATCTTCATCGCGCCCGCGCAGCCTACGCTGATGTCTGAATGCTATTACACTTTACATGTTATTATGTATTTTTTAAAGATTAATAACCTTTAAAAGATGAAAATATTCTAACAATATTGGTAACTCTTAACTGTTCATAAACATTAAATGTATATGGACAGTCTTAAGTGACTACATTACAAAAATAAATGCAAATTACAAGCGGATAAAAAGAGACAAAACGCAACATGCACAACGCACATGCAAAATCATTAGTTAAATACGATTATTGCGAAAAATAGTAAATGTTTTAGTAGTGAGATTTAAAATAATGTGTCAAAAAACCCATTAGCTATATAAATTTAAACGTACTTACCATACATACATAGAATAATTTTAGAGAGATTTAAAGCACAATAAGTTAGTTTTCAAAACAATGGAAAGCATATGTTATTATACAAATATTTGTAATTCTTTCTTTATTTTTATTTTTGGGTAGTCTTGTTAGATAGTTATAATAAAAAAGTAGTATTAGTAGTGAGTTATATGAAAATATAATTATTATTATAAAATTATACTTTAAACTCATAATAATAAATTAAATGAAACATTCATTTTGTCACATCAAAACTCCTCTTAGAAAGAAATTTTCAAATTATAAGTACTTTTGATTGGATAGTATGTCTGACAGTAAGTGATAAGAAACTAATTGTTTTTCAATGAATAATTTTTATTCAAGTCAATGGAGTACCCAGTGATGAGGTATGATTCAGCGGCAATGAATTTTTCACAATGCCGCCTTATCAATACAGCCACAACACATATCAGAACTCCTACCGTTTATTAATATCCAGTATAATCAGTAAAATCAGGTATACCAGCATTTTTTATGTCTTACCCTGACTCCAAACGCCAAAATTTTTAGAACGCATTCAATGGTAAACATGCCTGTAAACACCATGTTCATGTAATGTAGCGTAGCCTTGTAGATTGGTTTTTGTTGGTAAAACTATAAAAATTAATCAGAAAAAACATTGATCAACCATTAGAATAAAAAAAAAAAAGTGAGAATATTTTTCAGAAAGCAAACTAAGTATTAGTATAAAATATAAAAAGTAGATGTCTGCGATATCTATGCAACATTTGGAGAATGGCATAATATTAAATATTAAAATGAGCTTATTAAAAAATAATCATATAGGAAAAATTTTTAACGAGAAAACTAATATGGATAATATTTTTGAATAATATTGATTAGAGTACAATTCAAAGCTTAAAACGATCCGTTTTGATAATTTCAACTGTAAGTCTGACTTAACAATAATAAAAAGAACAATTTTATATTAGTTAATGATTAATAAAAGTTTTAAACTCAACTATGTTTTGTTAGTATTATAATGAAATATCTTACCATCAATAATGTAATATTTGTCATCAAATTGTGAACATTACTCGTATGTTTATAATTTGTACTGACAAAGTTTTAAACCAATATAAACTTTAAAAGCTATTGTGATATAATATCAACAAAACTTTGACAACTGTCTAAAAGTAACATACATTATTGTTTGCTAGCACTCGCATTTTGTTGCATAGAACTCACAAGTTTTAAAAATAGTTACTCAATAACTATAAAAATTTTCTGTAAGTTGATGTAGTGTAAAAAAATTATTAAAAAATAGCAATGCGCTTATTAAAATCACTTCATTTATTTTAGCCATTTTAAGCGTATATCAAGTAGAAAAATATATATAGTAAAAAAAGCAACCTATAAATAAAAATTGAAAGAAGATTAAAATATAAGTCATCGTATGTTTGTGTGTGATATTTCACAGCAAAGAGGAGTGTCCAGCTAAGCAAATGACATGCAAAAAGAGTATATATGATGGAAGAAAAAAATTATTTAATAGAAAGAGCCTAATTTATTTATCTGATATGAGTTTTACCCTGACTCGTTTTGCAATTTATACTATTTTCAAATATTTATTTTTAAAGAAATGTTACATCTATTACTTATTCAACAAAAAATTTTAATTTAAAATAAGCTAAAAATAATTTATAAATAATTAATATTTATACATTTTTTTCAAGTAAGTGTTTTGCTTATCAATATAGTTGTATAAAAATCTAGGGCAAGTATTTTATTAAAATGATATTTCCTAATGACTTCTTCAAAAATATGTAGTATGTTTAAAAATATTCGACTAGAAATAGTTAATACATGTCATAATTTTGTAAGCCTATATAATGAATTCATATATCCAATTTCACATTAACCAACACTGTTAGTAATTACTACACATATTTTATACACTCACCTTCATCATAAGTAACAGAGTATTCAAAACAATCAGGATCATTATAAAATATTCAAATGGTGTAGAAACTACCAATCGCCATATTTTGTACTTCATGCTATTTCTATCTTTAGGCATATACCTTTCCAAAGGTCTAGCTTGTATGGTAAAATCAATACAAGATTTCTAAAAAAAAAATTATAATTATCTAATTATGGCATATGTGAAGTAATATACATTGTTGAATACATAGTATAGTAGTTATGCTATTTAATATAGTTTTAGTATATAATTAATTTTAAAACAAAGTAATAATTTAAAAATATATTTAAGTAATAATTAAACTTGAAAACATTATGAAATTATACACTTAATTTATACCTGATTTTTATCAATTTCTCCATCTTGAAGCTCAGCTTCGCCCTGTTCTTGAAATGTTATAATAATCAACGCCACGAATATGTTAACAAAGAAAAATGGAAACACAATAAAATAAATTATGTAAAATAATGATCTCTCGATATGATAATTCGGAATAGGACCCTCATCTACTTCAGTGGCAGCCATAGAATTTTTCAACACTCTAAAAATAATTAAAATTAAATAATAGAGATTTTAATATTTGATTTTTTTTTTGTTTAGATCTGTACTTAGGCCATCCTTCGCCCGTTTGTACGGCAAATAACGTTAACATGGCTACTGCTACATTATCGTAGTAAAAGTCTTGTTTGTCCCATTTTCGTTCTCCGACTTTGGGCATGAACTTCTGGGAGTTAACATCTTCGTTGTCTTCTGGTTCGTATTTAAAATATAAGCCCCTGAATAATGAAAATATTAAATAATAATATGTATTAAATCATATGTTGACAAATGATAATTGTACTCACTTGCAAGTATCATTAACTGATTTACTGCTATCACTACAATAGAAGAACTTTCCATTGAATAATTGTACTGCGATGACAGCAAAAATGAAGTGAAATAACATGTACACTATTAATATATTTATAACGTTTTTCAAAGAGTTAACAACACAATCAAACACCGCTTTTAGTTTAGGAACTCGTTTGATGGTTTTCAGAGGACGGAGTACTCTCAAAACCCTGAGTGACTTAATGGTTGACAAATTTGTTCCCACTTGTCCTCCACTAAAACATAATACACAAGTAAATAAAATATCAGATAAATCAGATGTAATATCAAAATTTTTATTTTTATTTACCCTCTCTCAAAAATAACTGAAGCCAAAGCGCATATTACGACTACGGCATCCATGATATTCCAAAATTCTCTTAGGTACGAACCAGGATGTAATATAACTCCCAAATCAATTATCTAGATTAAAATATAATACGATGATATTTTATTAAGAGTATACTATTTAAAATTCAAATACCTTTAATATCATTTCTATTGCGAAAATTACTGTAAACACATTATCAACAATATCTAAATTTTTATTCCATTTTGAATTGTCATCAATTGGATCTTCAGCAGCCAGTGCTACGCTACTTAAAATAATAATAAGCATGATGAAAAAGTCGAAATACCTTAGATTCACAATCCAATGTGCAGCCCTCCTAATGCTATGTTTGAAATACATTTAAAGTGATTATTGAATATGATTTTTATGGTATACTTTCAATATTATTTACCCATTAGTTGGCGTTAATAGGAACATAGATGAATACGGTAACATTGGTTTTGGTCCTTCTTCTTCCTCTTCTTCTTCTTCAATATCATCTTTGGTGCCCGGTTCAATAAAATGATGTTTTCGATGATGTCTGATAAGTGAAACACTTAGAATTATTAAATAAATTAATTTTAAAAACACACATTACTAAATCTAAACAAAATAATTTACCTAGAATTTTGTGATGGTGATGTAGGTATCATTGCCATTTTTGATGGATCTGTAATCATTTGTAAGGCTTCCATCTCTTTTTCGAGTTCCATTTGCTGTTTCTTAAAATTGCAACAATAGCCTCCGTCAGAAAAATATTAAAATAGATTTACTCAACTTACTTCTTTATCTTCTTCTTCTTGTTCTTCTTCAGCAGCTGTTAATTCTTGAGCGTTGGCTAAGTTATCGACAGCAATAGCCAAGAACACGTTTAACAATGTATAGTTACCGAACAGTACTAAAACTATAAAATATATTGCATATATCATTCCTCCTCCTTGAGTTTCTGATTGACTTCGAATTCCTTGATACATAACTTCATTCCAATCTTCACCCGTTAAAATCTAATTACACAGAAAACATTTGATTATTACTTTGTTCAGATAAGTACTTGCAATATAACTATTTAAAATAATAATTTTTATAGGTCAGTAAACAATAAATTTAATAATAAGCATAGCATATACCTGAAAGACTGTTAACAAGGCTATGGAAAATGTGTTGAAATTGGTTGCTGGAGTACCATCCTCAAAATTGAATTGTCCACCAAATAACTGCATACCAAGCAGCGCAAATATTAGTATGAACAAGAAAAGTAGAAAAAGCAAAGATATGATTGATCTCATAGAGTTTAGTAACGATATCACAAGATTTCTCAACGATGACCAATACCTAGAAAAAAATGTGCAGTTGAAGCAAGGTTGAAATAATGCGTTATATAACATTCGTAAATCTTATAGTATCGAAAATAATAATATAAGTGTCTTAATTAAATTATGGTTGATGTAGTGTTAAGATTAGTATAAGCGATTGGATCATTCTGGAACTATATTAATTTCAAAAACACATCGATTTATCAGTAAAACAATATTCAGAAAAAAAAAATTAAATTAATTTTTACATAGCATATTATTCCCGCCCAAATTTCAATTAGCTATTTTTATTCTTAAAATATCCATTAGAAAAATATTTTAATTTAATAACTTAAATATTAATATGATCCAAAATATATTTGAATACTGTAATGATTAGGTAATAAAAAAATTACTTGGTCACTTTAAATATTCTTAATAGTCGCAAAGCTCTCAATACAGATAGACCAAAGGAGCCACCCTCCACAGCGGAATAAATGACTTCAAATATGGAGCCCATGATTACCACACAATCAAACCGATTGAAAGCAGACTCGAAGTATATACGCACACCAAGTGCATACATTTTGATGACCATTTCCATCATAAATAACATAAGGAATACGTATTCCGAATAAACTGAAAAAAAATAAATAAATAGGATTTATTAAAAATATATACATGATTTAAGTTATTTTATATTTATTTCGAAGAATACAAATTATAAACGATTAAATTTATTATAATAAAACTTTTGAAATTAATCTTAAGTTCATACTCACAAACAAAGTCTTTAAAATATTCAGGTTGTCTATAATGTTCCATGGCTACGAATACTGTATTAAAAAAAACTAGAACGATGACGAACCAATAAAACCATTGTGCTTTAACCATGTGTCTAACCCAAAACCTAAATCGTTTTTCAGCTCTCCACATAGATGCACAAAAGCCCTTTTTTCTTATTCGGTCTTTGAAAGTTGGTGTTCGAGAAAAGCCTATTAATAAATCATAACCGTTATGCAGATAAAATATTTTATTTATAATCTTGGTATTTTATTACTAAAAAAAAGCTTTCTCTTTATTTTAAATCAGCTATATGAAATTTACTCATTTTAATATATACATAATGATTGTAATTTTACCACTTTTTCTTTGTATTATTTTGTACTAAATACTATTAATATATTTACATATACATTTATATTTTTACAGTTATATATCAGTCTATACTAATAACAATAATATACTGTTCACTCTTCACAAACAAACGACACCTCAAACATGCAATTGTTTCTCTTTCTCGTAAAAATAGGGTATTGCTAAGTATCCCTTTCTCAAAACTTTCTAATAACTCACTCATTTAACACATTTTTACGTACGATTAGTAATTATTAAAACTGTACCTTTTTTGCTTTTACCAAACACTGAAACAGATAATATTGTATAATGCAATAAGACATTAAATTTATAGTAATTATGAAAGAAGTACTATTCTCAATTTAAATATTTCATTATAAAAGAGTCACAGAGCATTCATTTTAAATTAAAATAAAACTGTAATAAATGAAAAATAAAAGTAACAAAGATTACCTTCGTCAGCTTCCTCTTCCTCGCATTCTTCTTCGGATTCAGTACTTTTACTTTTTCCTAAGGTTTTTAGTTTTCTTTTCTTTATGTCAGCTCTTTTTCTCGCTTTATTATTATTATAAATTAAAATTAATATTAGTTAAACAAAAGATATTTGAATTTACACAAAATACCTTCAATAATGTGTCGCCTTTCTTCGTCGGTGGTTCGTTCTTCAGCTAGAATTACCTCTTCTGCAATGGTAATAATATTATTAAAATAGTATAATAATTAAATATAATTTAATCATAAATTTATTCAATAAAAGATTATTTTAATTCTAACCAAATGTCTATTTGCAGGGTTCAAACTAATTACTTACCGGCTTTGCAAATCCACTCTACATAACCATTGAGCTCACGTTCTAGCTGTTGCTGCCGTCGTAATTTCAAAAACGTTTGACGGTTTTCGACTTTTTCTCTTTCTTTAGCAAATTCTCTACAAAGCAAGTGCATAAGGTTCAAGGTTACTATTCACTATATACATCAGACATTTAAGTAGAGGAACAAAATAATACAATGATAATATACTCTCAGAATTGATACAATTTTTTCATAGCTTATGTAAGAATGACAGGGTTTTAGCTAAAAATCTATAATTTTTTGGTTATTATGTAAACAGCAAATTTTTAGGGAAATTAACTAGCAGACATTTTTTTTAAAATTGTTGATTATAACTAATATGACAATTATTTCTGATTACGCTAGGCATACGCTATAATTATAAAATGTGTTGCTTTATTCAGGATTAGGTAGTTGCAACATAAATATTTACATTTAGAACACTTAGAGTGTACCTGCAGATGTAATCCAATTTATGTAATTGTTAAACATATCATTGTATTTTTTTTTCGTGCGCATCTTGTAGTATTTAGCTTGCCGCTCTACGCGTGTTCTCTCGTTTGAGAACTCTCTGTAAAGCGCATGTGACTAATACAGATTTCTCAAGATTTTTTAAAAATAGAAGGGAAATGTTCTTTTATGACTTTAAAGATTTACGAAAAATATAAGACTTACCCACTAAGAACACCAAGAACTAAATTGAGCATAAAAAATGAACCTAAAATTATAAGTGGTACAAAATATATCCAATTGAACAGCACACCGTATGCGTCATTCATCTAAAACAAACATAGTCATGTTATTTATCAATAAATTTACTATGTCATCATTAAGTACCTTTTACTTAAATAAAAATTTTTTTTATTTATTCATCCATTTGTACTTTCTAAAATGAATAAGTGACAACACTTACCCAATACAAAATAGTAGTCCATCCTTCCATAGTAATGCATTGGAATACTGTGAGCATAGCGAGTCCGATGTTATCGAACGATGTGATTCCATAATTGGGTCCTACCCAGTTTTCAATACATGTGGAAGTTTCACTTGGACAAAAATACGCATTGGTCGCTTTTGTGCTTTCACTTGCGTCCGAGTCTGAATTGCAGGGTGTTGGAGACGGTCCCTCGTTTTCTATTGCCATCAGATCGTCTAACCTATAAACATTTGACCATAATGTAATTAAAGTAACTTAAAACATAGTGTAAACTAAATCTAGGATGTACTTATAGCAAGTCTTGTGCAACGCCCCAGAATAAAACTCTAGTCCTATAATGGCAAATATGATGATTGCAAACAACACCAACAAGCCTATCTGAAGCAGCGGTGCCATAGCCTTGATAATGGACTTCAATACGACCTGCAAACCTAAGGGAAGAAAAACAAAGGGTGTTATATCTAATACATTGGATAAAGTCCTATACATTTCCTAAGTAGTATAAAGTGACATTATGTCTCAATACACCAATGGAAATGATGGCCATCACCGTTGTTGACAGCCCATTGAAAACAGCCGTAGAATGAGGTTGAGCAGACGAACTGGTTCGTCATACTAACCTCAAATATGTTGTACTCACTTGGAATCCCGGAGACCAGTTTGAGCGGCCTCAGTACCCGGATCGCTCGCAACGTTCGTAGATCCATGTTTCCAGTTGATGGTATTTGTGTTATACATCTGTGGCAACAACACTTCTAATCACTACTTAGTGCGCTACCTACCCCAAAATAAACACGCAATCTGCTCTATTCATCTAATACTATGCGTCTATTTAAAATAAACAATGTTTGAACTTGTCTAAAAGGTATTCATTTGGGAAAAAGTAGGTGCGCAGGAATTGTCATTATGATAATATTACCCCACTTCCTTAGAAAATAAATTTAACATCAATGGTAAAAACAGAATAAATTGAATTTAAATATATAACTTGAGGTTTTTTATTTAAATGTAAAAATTGAACAGCAAAATATGACGAACTAAAGTAATATTACTATGCGATTAAAAAAATAATAATAACAATTTTGAAATAATTAAAATAAATCTATCGAATACCAAAAGTATACGAAACAAAATGCCAAAATCGAAATATCTCAACACATTTCTTATTTTGAATATGGTAAAATTTGATAATTTTGTAATTGTGTAAAACAACAAGTCATTTAAAATGGATACGAAAAAAATTCGATCAAGAAACCAATTTTACGAAGGCAAATAGTAAGAACTGCATTATTATGGCTTTTAATGTCGGAAGCCCTCAATTAGGTCATTTCTCTACGCACAACTCATGTATCCACCCCATTATTATAAAGACATTACTACTATGAAGGTATTATTATTATAGCAATACAGTTTGTCAACATTGTTATCTACTATTTGGTCCTAAAATGATATTATTTCTGTAGCGATATTGAAAATACAAAAATATTAAAAATTAAATATACGACTCAAAATTAATCTACAACAATATATTATAATATCTACGGTCAACTCGCTTAAGTCGACAACGTGCAGATTTCTAAAAAATATCGAATATTTTTATTTACGTTAATGTATAGTATGTAAATATATTATTAATAAATCTTATAAAATAATGTTTTTAATAAAATAAACAAATATACCAATATAACAATTGTTTCAACAGCTTATTACAAAATATATAATAATAGTATAAACCCATATGTTTCTATCTATATATCTAAAATACCTAATCGGATCTAAATGATGTATAATGAATACTGTTACAAATTTCTGCTCGAATAAAGCCGATTAATATCCAACTACAAATCGATCAACTGTAAATTACCAACGGTAGTTCTACTCGGAAATTTCTATCATCCAACAACAATTATTCAAAAGATTTATGTAATAAATATATGAATAAAAAAATTTTGCAAAAACAACGGTTACGGTCTAATCCGATATTCGGAATAATTATTATAACATCTAAACCAAATGCAAATATACGCCAACTATAAAACGGGTTAAACAAATGGTTTTACTGAATAATATAAAAGAACATTCGAGGATATTTTTTCAAAATGCTTTTAGTAATCTTGAGACATTTCGAGTGCCTTACTTGGAATTCTCGAAACCAGTTTCAAAGGCCTGAGCACCCGAAAGGACCTCAACATCCTCATGTCCAGCATGTTGGACTCCATGAATTCAGTCATTGACCTAAAAATCGGTAAACCCCTAAGTCCAATGCTTATCCCTAACCAGATTTAGCTACACGTGTATCGTTCTAATTTTTTTTATCATAGTTTTAGATTTCGTGTCTATTTTTTATTATAATATTATTATTATGCGTAAAAGTAAATAAATAAAAATAAAATCATTAAAAGCAAATCTAATATTGAATCGAATTTACTTACCCTGTTACAACTACAAAAAAGTCCATAATGTTCCATATATTACGAAGATATGAGCCGCTGTGCAGTAAAAAACCTAAAGCTAATATTTTGAGAGTCGCTTCGGCGCAAAAAATCGCTAGAAAAACGAGTTCAGTTGCCTCCTAAAATTTGTTAAAAAAAAAAAATTTTTGTTCAGTATAATCTTTTATCATTAACTCGATAGACTAAATTCTTAGATAACATTTTTTGGAAGATATGTTATAAAAACATTTTTGTAGGATTAATATAATATTGTGTATTATAATAACGTTAAAAAAAACATAATAAAATTATTATTTTTGAAAAAATTCTATCTGAGTTTATTATAAAATAAAAAATAGAAAAATCATTTACCAAAGTCTTAGCAAGTACAGTCTTGTCTGATTTAGGCAAATGTTGCTCCAGTGCCAACACCACGCAGTTGGCTATAATAGTTAATAGCACAGCATACTCGAATGGAGTGCAAAAACTGAATTAAGGCAAAACTCACAAATTTAATAAATTATGAAATATTAATTAAGTTATTTATAATTAATAATTATAGAGGTTGAATTGTTTATATTCAAAATCATTAGGTTCCAAAATTTGATGCATTGTTCATATTCTAGTGAATATTTAAAACATTAGTGCACAATAAAAATTATTGTTAGCTAAATCTAAAAGTTAATCACGCGATTCGTCTCATTCTCCACCGCAAGTGGGCAGAACGGCTCAAAATATGTTTTGACGTGCAAAATTGAATGCATTGTATTATGCGTACCATGCAATTAACTTATCATTTAAAATTAAGGTTTAATTCTCTCTCATTACTTAGTACAAGTTTACACGATAATCCGTTTGGTTAACGAAAACAATTATTAAAAGGTTAACTATAACGTAAAACAAAACTAATTATAAATGGAAATATTTCAAAGCTGCAAAAGGATATGGCCATTCGATGATGAATCTAGTATACCGGCGGACAGGGTTGTCAGCGCTGAATAGGAACAAGGACGATGGCCCTGGAGGTGCGTCCGCCTGCTGGTGGTGGTGGTGGTGGTGATGATGGGAACGTGGTCTCCCCATGCCGGCGGTAGTACCCGCCGACCCGGTGCAGTCACGTCCCGCGGCCGCCGCGACTTCCTTCTCCGCCGCCAACCTATTGACAGAAAAAATTTACTAATAAGAATAAATAATTATATTCACTCAAAAAGCATTTCGTTAATGAAATAATTATTTTAATATATTTTACTTAGTTTCAAATATCACTAGATCACCTACAAAGATATACTTTTATTACATTGAAAACATTTTTGAATTTTAAATTTTAATATTATTTATACTTATTTCAGGAAAAATTCAAATTTTACCGCAACAGTTTTATTTTTAAAAATGTTTTTAATTTTAATGTTATATATATTGATAAAATTCCTTACTTTATTACTTAAACTAATCTATAATATATAAATTGATTATTATTTTTGTGTGGTTTAATTCGAATTAATTTCAGTTGAATTTGGTGTAAAAATATTGTTTAATTGGTGAAATGTGAACTCAAAATCATTTTTATACGTTTTGGTATAAATCAATGGATAAAGGTGTTATCTGGCATTTTTAAATAATTTGTTGGAAGTATCATTTTCAAGTTATAGTATTTTATAGAAGGTTCATAAACCAAAATTTTCCCCCTATAATTTATTTCATATATTGAATATCAAAAAAGCTTCAAATATTTTTAATATTTAGTCAAAAAGTATCATTTTTAAATAGTTTTAAAGAAGTCAGTAAACGCTTTCACCCACTAATACTTTGTTTTATATTATTGTTAAATACAAATTATTTTAGATTATGTTATTCGTAATAAAATCTCATTTACTAATTAAAATCATAGAATCAAATAAACTTATTATATTATCGCCAGAAAATTTTCAAACAAAAAGGATTTTATAACTGCTAAGATTTTATTACTAAAACTGTATAGTATACAGTTTGATTCACTTATCATGAACCACTTAATCAATTTAAAAATAGGAATAATATTGATAATGTTTTTTCTGTTTCTTTTAGTTCAACGTTTATGAATTTATTATTCATGACGTATGTTTTATGTCCATCCCTTACACCTTGTAAGAGTGTCAGCTTTAATTTTTTAATTATATAATTAACTAGATTATTTTTTATATAATGATCTAGTTAAAAAAATGACAGGTCGATAACAGAGCTTTTAGGAAAGAGTAGGTGCTGGATTTTTAAACTAAATATTTCCTGGTCATATTCTTCTTCCCGTCTAGGTATAAACATATCAATAACTACCGAAATGATGGTCCACAAGTTGTTGTTTAAAAAACATTTTCTTAACTAATACATTATATAATAAATAACCTAGTTAATTATATATGATCCAATTTGTTCAATTATAACTTACTCATATTATTTATGTTTTTGATTTAGTAATTACATTTGCTTTTCTAAATTCTTTTTACAAAAAATGTTTTAAATATTATTATGTATTACATAATGATTTTGTTCAACTTCAACAAATTGAACAATTACTCAGAAATAACAAATTCAATACTTGAACAAATTTAAGTATTGTAGAATTACAATCAAATTTCATGAATGGCAATAAGTTTTAAGCGTAGAAATATTAAATTTATAATTTAGTTTTTAATTCAAATTGAGTGATTAACATCGGATGATAATGTGTAAACTATGACTAGAAAGAATAAATAAATTTATACCAAACCGAAGATTTTATAAAAACAGTATGGAAACTATCAATACTCGAATTTTTTATTTGCGGTTATTTTCAGGAAGTAGGAGCTCTTCTTAATGATAAACTTATACAAAACATAATTAGCATTATCAATAAAATAAATGCCAAATAGTATTTCATGAATCGTCGTTTCCAACGTGCTAGTTTCGACTTTACAGAACGTTAACATCTAGGTTACAATGCACAATATCGAATGTAGAAGCGTGCAAACTTTAATAGTTAAAACATACTTGTATAGAAATTATACAGAGGTAGCAGCGCAACCCGTCAAAGAGCCGGGCGAGATCGATCGACCGTCATGAAGCTACGGTATGTGGTGACGTCACGGTTGTTACGTCACTAACAATATTCCCGTCCTACTAACCAACTTTAAGTCGATACCACCACCACCGAAAGGGAGAGTCACCGGTTGCCACCACGTTGCCGGTCTGAGCGCTCCTGTACTTGGTGAAATATAATTTTTTCTCTTTACCTTTGAATGACTCTACAGCATAATATAGTACTCTCTATTTGCGTGCTCTTAACGTTACTGACGCCTCTCCAAAGTCAGTAAAAAATCGTAACGACTTATACCTTTTCGTTTCTCCCATTAATTCAGTAAACCATTACCAAATACGTATATACATATACATTATATTTCGTTTTTGAGCCTTTAATAATTAACTATAATTCTCTTATTTTGTTCAAGATGATTTATTTTGTAGTAATCTTTTTATTTTTGCTATTTTTGAAAAATGTATTTAATGGAAGTTAAAACAAATTATACTAAGGTATATTACTAACGACAAAAAAATTATTTTCAGTTAATATATCACGAAATATTTTTTTTACATGGATTCAAATTCAGAAAAAAATAAGCACACAAATTACAGTAGTGAAAAAATTGACTGTATGTATCATTGACAAGAACTACTGTAATCTATACAAACTATGACTATTGGACAATGATAAACGAATTCAATATAATTTCTATATTCCAACCTAACCTTTGTCAATTCAAGATTATTTTACAAATTATTTTAGGTAAACTCTTTTTCTACAAAAAAATTCATAAAATAATTACATAATTTTACCTTAAACTTTTTGTCCAACAATTTCTTATACTTATCATTTTTTTTCCTGAACATACTATATTTACATACTATAGTATGTAACATACTAGAAATATTGTTAAACATTACTTAGAAATGCCCTTAATACACAAACACCTCACGGGTAAAATTATACAATACATTATAACGTAAAGAATAATTAATGTAAAATTATATTATAAAGTAATACATCAATAGTGTATTTGTATCTAATTTGTATATATTTTATTTTATGTATAATCTGATTATTTAGTTTAGCTAAAATAAAAAATATTTACTTATGTTTATTAAACATACTTGGACGGTATCATATTAACAAGAGTTCGTACCACACGTTTCTTTATATATATATACAGGGTGGCCCACCACTCACTGACAACTTAAATAACTTTTGATCCAGTTAATATTTTTAGTTGATTTTTTTTAAATAATAGTTATACGTTAGGTCTATAGGTATATCTCAATAATTAATTTTTTTATATTTTATTAAAAATATTAATTATTTTAAAATTTTAAATAAAATGTAAAAAAAAAATCTAAGATAGCTATTTTGTAGAGTAGAATTTAAGAAAAATTTTAGTAAAAAAATATCTTATTAATATTGAGTAGTAAATATTCTGTAGCGTTTTGAAGTTTGTAAAAATTTGAATTTTCATGTACTATTTTACGGTATTAAACATTGAAATACGTATTGAGAAAAGGACAGAAGAAAACGCTATCTTTTCAATATACTTTTAAATGAGAGTGATAAGTAATAATTGCCTTATCTAATTTCTTATCATGGTATTAATGCCATGTTTGTAATGTATACACATTATCATCATATGTATACACAGTAATCATGAAAAGATAGCGTTTTCTTCTGTCCTTTTCTCAATACGCTATTAATAATACACCGAAAACCCGGTTTGAATCTATTATTGTTATCACTCATTTAGTGCGTAGTAAATTTTTATAGCTAATTTACCTGTCATAACTTTATTAATAAAATTTAGTTTATGCAACAGCAAATAAAAATAATGATTTCTGTATTTAATACAGTAAAATGACAATAGAAATTTGGTCTAAAATTACTTAACTTTAATAAGCTGTAACGGACGAACGGTTAATTGGATAAAAAAAATTATAAGAACAAAATTGTTTGTAATTTTTTTTTTCTATCATATTATAAAGTTAAAAATAAGGGTTCCCATTTAAGAAAATTATAAATAAGGGTTTTTATCCTTGAAGGAACGAAAAAAATAATGGTTTGACTATATATTATTGTAGAGTTTTTTGAACCTGATATTTTTTTTCTATAATAAAATTAAAAATTCTCAATGTTTTCTAAGAAAATGAGTGTCTTACCAGATTTCAATCACTCTGTATACCAAAATAAAAGAGTAGCTCTATATAAAGCTTTATTAAAAAAAATGTTTAAAAATATCTATTTAAAACATAATAATAATAATATAATTAAGTCATTGGAAATATAAAACAAAAATTCTAAAATAATTAAAAATTAAAAAAATCATGGGAAGTGTCACTAATGAGTTGTTTCTTCCATCAAAATGTATTCATGTAAATTTTTCTACTCTTATCATATATGCTTATTGTACTCATTGTACAGATTGTATATTTCTAATAAAAAAAAAAAAAAATATTATAAAGTTAATAATAAGGGATCCAATTTAAGAAAATTATAAATAAGGGTTTTTATCCTTGAAGGAACGAAAAAAATAATGGCTTGACTACATATTAATGTAGAGTTTTTTGAACTTAATATTTTTTCTCTTTAATAAAATTTAAAATTCTCAATATTTTCTGAGAAAATGAGTGTGTTGCCAGATTTCAATCATCCTGTATATCAAAATAAAAGAGTAGCTCTATATAAAGCTTTATTAAAAAAAATGTTTAAAAATATCTATTTAAAACATAAGTAAACAGTTAAAAATATTCCATAAAACCAATGTGATTTGAAATATTTAAAAAAATCAAACTGTAATTTCTAAAATAAGATATTGTATATTAAAAAAAAATAAATCTAATATTATGTAGCTCTTAAAAAGATATTCTAATTTTTACATACATTTACTGGAAGTTAATAACACGTACGATGTAAGAGAATATTTTGATTAATTAAAACCATATTTTTTACTATTTTTTTTTTTTTTTATAATAAAAATAATCAAACATATTTTATTTTATTTTAAATATTTTATAAATTTCAATAGCCAGTATTTAGAATTTTTTAGCAAAATTGTTAATCGGTCAATAAAAATTTTAGCACAACATATTATTGTTGAGATACAA